GGGTTGCCCCTGCCTCAGACCGATTCGTAAGAACTGGTAGTAAAACCAGTAGGAGGCTCCACCCACCGACCCCGACGTCATCAGGAAGCTTCTGCGCATGCGAAGTGAGCATGTGTGCGTGGCCCCGTTGCGAACCAGTAGTAAAGGTAAGTAGAACCCACCCCTGCCCTGATCTAATACACAAGCCATCTGCTGGGTATGACACGTTCATTCTTCCATTAGTGTATTTGATGAATGCATAGAATAATAAACCTTGGTCTTTACTTAATCCTTGAAAAATACCATTCAACATACAGAAATGCCTCCCCTTTTTCCTTTTCCTTTGTCATCAAGGCAACGACAGAAGTGCTGGATTGGTTCACATGATAGTCTCTGCTGAACTCTCTGTTTCATTGCTATATTATAACAGCAGAATACCTTCCTACTCCCACTTCTTTATTCTGATAAAATGTTTAAGACATAATAAAAAGTATAATATATTTGACATATAAAGATCACATTTGTCTAATTTATTTGTAGAAAGAATAATAAAACAACCACTTATTCAATGACCGTTCAAACTTGTGACATCACTGAACAAGTAGAAATGACCTGACCTTGTGGTTATGGGTGTAGTCACATAATCATCATCTGCAACAGTGGTGGGTTGTTCCCGGTTCGGTCCGGTTCTATAGAACCGGTAGTAAAACCGGCGGGAGGCTCCCCCCACCCGCTATGACATCTTGGGTGATCTGCACATGCGCAGAAGCTTCTGCACGCGCATGCTCCCGCTGTGAACCAGTAGTAAAGGTAAGTGGAACCCATCCCGATCTGCAACCTTCCCTGTGAGTTTCCCACAAGCAAAAGTAATGGAGAAACCTGCAGGAAATCATAGTATTGAGGTCCTTGCTTAACATTTGTGTTGTCCTCATTTAATGATGGCAACTGGAACTGACATCACCAAGTGGTGCAGTCATGTGATTTTTAACATATGATCATGTTGCTTAATGTAGGAGTTTCCAGTTCCAGTTAGCATCATTGTACCAGGATTACTTGTATGCCCATTTTAAAATACAGCTAAGGGAAGCAACACAAAATTCCTAACAGAATCTTTTCTGCCCTGAATCTTTTCTGCCCAGCCGCTTCCCCCCACCGCAGGGAGACAGAACCGACCAGATGGTTCTGTCCCAGGCGCCTGATGGACCCCGAAAGGTTCCTGACCGAGCTTGGGCCGTTTCCTGACTCGACCGAAGAACTGGTGGCCGCCTGGGAGAGTGCGGCCGCTGGGGCTTTGGACCGCGTCGTGCCTTTGCGGCCTCTAACCCGATGCCAATCTCAATTGGCTCCTTGGTTCTCCAAGGAGCTGAGAGAGATGAAGCGTCGGAAAAGACGCCTAGAGAGCATTTGGAGGACCAGTCAATCCGATTCCGACTGGACACAGGTGAGGTCTTATATCAAGACCTACCTAGTGGCGAAAAAGTGGCGAAATCTAACAATTTTTCTACTCTTATCGCATCTGCAGAGAACCACCCAGCCGCTTTGTTTAGGGTGACCCACTCCCTTCTCTCTCTGTGTGTGTGTGTGTGTGTGTGTGGGAAGATCCCTTGCAGGGTTGTGCTGAGGACTGTGCAATTCCTGCATGATAAAGTCACTCAGATTCAGGAAGGCTTGGACTCCAACTGGATGAGTCCGGAGAGGAGACGAGGGTAGGTCTTGAGAATGTTATCTGGGAGGAGTTTGATCCTGTGGCTCCCGAGGATGTGGACAGGGTTCTGGGTAAATTTAGTGCCGCCACGTGTTTATTGGACCCGTGTCTCTCCTGGTTGGTACTGGCCTCCTGGGAGGTTACACAAGGCTGGCTCCAGGGGATTATAAGTGCTTCCTTGAGTGAGGGTGCCTTTCCCGCCGCCTTGAAAGAGGCAGTGGTGAGGCCCCTCCTCAAGAAGCCTTCCCTGGATCCGGCTGAATTAGCTAACTACCGTCCGGTCTCCAACCTTCGTTTTGTGGTGAAGGTTGTCGAGAGTGTGGTGGCACAACAGCTTCCCCGGCACCTGGATGAAACTATCTAAACCCGTACCAGTCGGGCTTCAGGCAGGGGTAAGCACAGAAACAGCATTGGTCGCGTTGGTGGATGATCTCTGGAGGGCTCGGGACAGGGGTTGCTCCTCTGTCCTGGTCCTATTAGATCTCTCAGCGGCTTTTGATACCATCAACCATGGTATCATGCTGCAGCAGTTGAGGGGGTTAGGAATAGGGGGCACCGTACTACGGTGGTTCTCCTCCTTCCTCTCCGACCGTTCGCAGTTTGTGTTGGCAGGGGGGCAGAAGTCGACCTCAAGGCACCTCGCATGGGGAGTGCCGCGAGGATTGGTTCTCTCGCCCCTTCTGTTCAACATTTATGTGAAGCCACTGGGTGAGATCATCCGTGGTTTTGGGGTGAGAGTCCATCAGTACGCTGATGATACTCAGCTGTACATCTCCACCCCAGACCACCCCAACGATGCCCTTGATGTGATGTCTCGCTGCCTGGAGGCCGTGCGGGTATGGATGGGGAGAAATAGGCTCAGACTCAACCCTTCCAAGACTGAGTGGCTGTGGCTGCCGGCATCACGATATAGTCAGCTGGTGCCATCGCTGACTATTGGGAGTGAATCTTTGCCCCCCACAGAGAGGGCTCGCAATCTTGGCGTCCTCCTGGACGCACGGCTGTCTTTAGAAGAGCATATGACAGCCGTGGCCAGGGGGGCTTTTTATCGGGTTCATCTGATTCACCAGTTGCAGCTCTTTCTGGACCGGGATGCCTTGCGCACGGTCACTCACGCCCTTGTCACCTCCCGGCTGGACTATTGTAATGCTCTCTACATGGGGCTCCCCTTGAAGAGCACTTGGAGGCTTCAGCTGGTCCAGAATGCGGCCGCACGGGTGGTTATGGGTGCAGCCCGTTGTGCCCACGTGGCACCCCTCCTGCGCGAGCTGCACTGGCTCCCAGTGGTCTTCCGGGTGTGGTTCAAGATGTTGGTTACCACCTTTAAAGCGCTCCATGGCATAGGACCTGGGTATCTTCGAGACCGACTTCTGCCACCAACAGCCTCCCACCGGCCAGTTTGCTCCCACAGAGAGGGTCTCCTCAGGGTGCCATCTGCCAAGTTATATTGGCTGGTGACACCCAGGGGGAGGGCCTTCTCTGTGGGACCCCTGCCCTGTGGAATGAACTGCCCCCGGAAATGCGCAACATCTCTGATCTCCGTGTATTTCGCTGTGCCCTCAAGACCCTGCTGTTCTGCCAAGCCGGGTTTTAAATTTTTGGGGTTTTAAATTTCAGCTGAATTATGTAATAATTTTAAATATTTTTAACTGATATTTGTCTTTGTGTTTTTTAATAGGCTGTACACTGCCCTGAGTCCTTTGGGAGAAGAGTGGTATAGAAATAAAATTATTTATTTATTTATATATTTATTTATATATTTATTTATTTATTTATCTGTGTCTTTATCGTAGTGGGATTTTATAGTTTATAAGCCTTCAACCAATCCATCAATTAGGTCAGGATTTGTTCTTCTATAAGGTACTAATTAGGAAAGGCTGACAAAATTTTAGACTATAAATATTGGCTAGAATTCCAAGTGAAGACTCTTGAGAAGATCTTGGAGACTGTTGGAAGAAATATCCTTCTGGGTTCAGCTCCAAGTGGGGAAAAAGAAATATCGGAGACTGCTTGGAAAGATGGTTTAATGGTGGACAGGATCACATGGTTTGAGTTCCTGAGCAGAAAAGGGCCGAGATGCTGAGCGTGCCTTGGTTTTATGCCCTCTCTGGGCTCTGAACTTCCTTGGGCACAGGAAGAGTATCCTGATTGGTTGTCAGACTCCCAGGGGGTGGGGGTTTTAGCTAGCCTTGCTGGTTGATGTAATCTTCCCAGGTGCCATGTGGTGAGTTTCTGTAGCTAAATGGGTCCTATTGTATTGCAGATGATGGTCCATTGACAAAGGTGGAGGGAATAAGTGAGCTTGGCTGAGGCCTTAATGGCCCATTGACAAAGGTGGGGGGGAGGTAGGAAGCTGCTTTGTCTTTAAAACATGTTTCTCCATTTCTCATCCAGGGAAATATAATATTTTGCCTTTTTAGTATTTCCTAAAATATTTCATTCTTCTAGGAGAAGGGTGAGTGCTAACTTCCTACAAGATCAAATCAGTCGATCACTCCCTCCTTTCTTCTTTCTTTCTTTCTTTCTTTTTCTTTCTTTCTTTTCTTTCCTTTCTTTCTTTCTTCCTTCCTTTCCTTCCTTCTTTCTCTCTCTCTCTCTCTCTCTCTCTCTCTCTCTCTCTCTCTTCTTTCCAGACAGCTTCCGTGTTTCCAGTGTCTTTCTTCCCACTTGGAAATGAACCCAGATGGACATTTCTTCCAACACCAGGAAACTGTAAATGTTAGTTCTGGCCTTAGGCATGAAAAGTGCCTGGGTGACTTTGAGTCAGTCACTTTCTCTCAACCCAACCCACCTCACAAGGTTGTTGTTGTGGGGAAAATAGGAGGAAGAAGAAATATTAAATACGTTCTCCCCTGGAATTACTTGTAAAATAATAATTTATATAAATAAATATGGATTGATAGAATGCCGGAATCGGGCCAATACAGCATTTTACAGTTCTTGCCTCTTGTTATGGAACATTTTTCTTAGAAAGCGTAAACAGCTATAGATTTGCAAGCAAATAAGCCAGGAGAATTAACAGAAATTCTAAATTCTAGATAATATTCTTTAATTGCTGCTTGTTCGCGTTAACGGCGGGGACAGAGAAAACATTTCCCCCCCTCTTCTCGCGATGGCAGATTCTCACAAGCTCCCCCTATTTCCAAGAGTGGAGGATTCCGCCCGCGAAGTTCCAAGTCTGCGAGTCTTCTTAACATTCCCGGATCAAATGTCATCAAACCTCTCAATTTTTGTCCCCGCCCCCCGCCCCCACCTCCGGAGGTTTACAGTGAAGCCGCGTTCTGCGCACGCGCAGGAAGAGAATCGCGTTGCTAGGGTGGAGCGGCCCTTAGTTACCGCGTGTTGCTGCTGCCGCCGCCGCCGCCGCCGCCGCCGCCGCCGCCGAGGTTTCCTAATCGAGGAACCGCGAAAAAATGGTGGCGACTCCACAGGTAAATGAATTTCCTTGGAAGGGAAAGGGTGAGTTAGTAATACGGTGGAGACTCAACTATAAGCGCTCGTTTGCCGTCCTTGCATCTGTCGTCCATTGACATGGAGGAAAACCGGGCTGGCCTTGCGGGTGCGTACAAGCCCTCTCGAACGTCCCTTTTTTAGGGGTTGTTGGAAGATGGTTTTTGCAGTGCTTGTGCTACCTCAAAGAGGAGGTTCTCCCATTTTTGCGTAAGTTTTATTCCTTAATTCCTCCCAGTCCCAGCCGTTGCAGAAGTATTAAATCAGGGGTCTCCAATCTGGGCCACTTTAAGACTTGTGGACTTCAACTCCCAGAATTCCTCAGCCAGATTGGAGACCTCTGTATTAAAGTATGCCTGATGAACTGCCGGCTCTTCCAACTGTTGCCGCCGCCAAGGATGCTGGGAACGGTAGTTTAGCAACTTTTGGAAAAACGAGATTCCCCACTCCTGAATTAAACGGATGCAAAGAGCCTCCTCTTCGTGCCTGAAAAAAAGGAAATCTTTTTTTTTTCATCAGCCCTTTGATGGAGAATATGTGGCAACTCTTCCTTAGCAAGAAGTCTTTAACATCAGGGTGATGAACAAAAAAACCTCATCGAGTCCAAGGGTCTTTGGACAGTTCATTTCTCTAGAAGGTAGGCATGCTGAATGTCTCTTTAATCCCCTGTTAGCAACATAGGGACACACCCACAGAGAACATGATAATTTCCCTCTCTGTGTGGACATATAGTCATAAAATAATTTTAATATAGAACAGTAGTTTTTACTACCGTTGGAGATGTTTTTTTTAACCATGGTTTGTTGCAGAACATAAACTTATAATGGTTTTTACCCCATGTTAATGCAGAAGCAAAGAGGCCCGTTGTGGTTTAGGATTACCAGATTTCTGAACAGGCCAAATTGCTCACAGACAAATTAGAAAGGGGTAAAGGAGGATACACTATTTAACTTTCTTGGCATCGGGGACCAAAAAAAAGTCATGGGTCTACATGAATATGAAATTATTTTTTCTAGCTCAGAAATACTGGCTTTTGAATGTCAAGAATGTGCAAGAATGGGTTAGGAGAAAATGGTTGGTATGTAACTGATTAAAGTTGGATCAATTTCAGTGAGAACTTGTTAAGTTGCAGTGACTATATATTTTTTGGGGGTAGAAGGTTTTGCTGCAGAGAAAAGCTGCTCAGGAAGAGATAGCTTGTACAGTAGATACTAAAAAAGCCAAACAATATTTACTTTTAATGCTGTGCCTGCCAGATGGAGGACATTAGGACAAGTTGTCCTTGAATTAAAGGCTGGTTCAGGCATAATTTAGGGCTATCCTAAAAAGGATGATGTGTCCTGATGTCCTCCTTTTTTTAGGATAGCCCTAATTATGCCTGAACCAGCCTTTAATTCTGTTCCTCAAGGATAGGCATAGATTGATCAATATAATTCTATTTTTCTAGCTGCAAATGCATAGTTACATTGCACAAATTGTGGAGTTCTATAGGAATATAATTCATGGTTTTTCACCAAGAATTGTAATCCAGAAAAGATGCTGAGAATTACATTAAAGAGCATACTATTTTCTTTCCTGCAGCTATAATTCTCAGAATCTCTTAAAGTTTTTGAAGTTGTTTTGGAAATATGACCTCTATGTTCTAATAATATATTTTTGTCAATTTAAGATAATTTCATAACAGTTGTCTATGACTAAATCAATATTTGTTCATTGGTGGAATGCCTGGAAAAAATAATATTTAAATAAAGTTTTTTTCACTTTTGCTTAAAAGGAAGTTGGGAGATGCTTTTTTGCTTTAAACAGAGGAATTATGAATTCTTAATTTCCTGTAAATTATATAGCAATAGGATTTTTCACACCTCTCTTTCTGTCCTCCCCCCAACAGGGAAAATTTCAATGGGCAATAAGGATGTATTTCAAATTGAACTCTAACAATGGAATTTTGGATATCCTAATTCCCAACATGCCATTTTCACATTATATGCATACTTGGTTCCCTTAATTGCAGGACTTTAAGAGTACATTATGTAAATATAGTGTTTTTAGTGAGAAAATATAATTATTATTTGTTATAATGGGACTATTAGTTCAATTTTCACTCTCATAATTTCATTTATTCATTCATTTATTCATTTATTTGTTGAATTTATATGACTCCCCATCTCAAATAAATACTCAAATACTCTGCGCATCTAATAATATTGTTTAATCTTTTTTAAAAATACTATACTGCATATTAAGCTAGAGAAAATATACAGTAATTGATATTTTATAACATTAATTTGCTGTTCCTTTGTTTATGTAATTGTACTTTTTTTCATCTTTAAGATAATTATGGAAGGAGATCTTCGGAATATTATTATCTTCAATGCTTCCAAAAAGGAAATTTTTACTATGAACAGTGGTTATAGGATTTTACAAAAAAAACTTCGTAGTAACTGGAAAATACAGAGGTAGGTGGAATTCATCGTATTTTATGTCTTTTTTGAAATCTGTACTTTGTTCTGATTAATAAATTAATCATGTATATTAATAAATTAATATACATGTCATAAAGTTTTCCTTAAAACAGATTGTTGTTGTTGTTTTTTTGATTTTTTAAATGGTGGAATAAGATTTCTTGTTTACTTGTTCCTAGCTTAAAAGATGAACTCACTTCAGAGAAACTTTCAGGAGTAAAACTATGGATTACTTCAGGACCCAGAGAAAAGTTTACAGCTGCTGAAGTATGTGCTAGCATTAAATACATTATCTGTTTATTGTTCAGAGGTTAATGATATCTTAAATATTGAGAAGGACTTAAATATTCATCATAAGATTTATATTTTGGTGGAGAAACAAAATGGTTTTCTGTGTACATTTTGCTATATGCCAAGGAACAGATTGTTTATTAGCTTGTAAATTTCTGTTTGACTTTTTAAAATATAATAAAATTGTAGGATTAATCTGATCATTTTCTTATTAAAAATAGATGAGATTTTGGAAATATTAAAAAATATAAATATTACAAGTCATGTAGTATGACTGTTTTAATATTCAAGATTGTCTTAATATTCTTATTGACTAAGAAAAAAGTTTGAAACCAACTTTGTATCAATAAGACTAGTTTTTTTCTGCTTGTTATTTCCTTCTCAGTTTGAAGTTCTAAAGAAATACCTAGAAAGTGGTGGGAATATCTTGGTGATGCTGGGAGAAGGTGGTGAATCTCGTTATGATACTAACATCAACTTCTTATTAGAAGAGTTCGGGATCATGGTCAATAATGGTAATTAATTAACATGAAAAAGATTTGCTACTTTAACAGTTTTCAAAACGTATCCAAATTCCTAGTTCAAAATAGAAAACAAATTATAACTCAATATCTATTTCGACATCTTTTATATTTGTCTGAAAAAGAAAGGTAAATTTGGTTGTAGTTTTGACAAGTGTTTTTATTCTTAATATCTGTTGATTTTGGAAATAATCCTGTTCAAGAACATATACCGTATTTTTTGGTGTATAAGACACACTCCCCCCCCCAAGTGGGTGGAAATGTCTGTGCATCTTATATAGCGAATGTTGCTGAGGCCCCACCCACCCGCAATTTGCCTCCTTGCAGCAAACAGCCTGGTCAACTTCAGCACAGCCTGATTTAGCACGAGCAGCTGATTGGCGGTTGGATCTGCCTCCCGGAATACCACCTATCAGCTGTTCCAGGCTGCGGGGATCGCAGCCACCCATTGCCACTGCCATCTATTGCCACCTCTGCGCACTCATTTTCGACCTGTTCCAGGCCATATCCCCGCCACCTGGAACGGGCTGAAAATGGGACGTGCGGAGGCCAAAAATGGGGCGCGCGGAGGTGGTGATAGGTGGCAGCGGTGGTGGTGATCCCCGCAGCCTGGAACCGCTGATAGGCGGTATTCTGGAAGGCAGATCCAACCGCCAATCAGCTGCTCATGCTAAATCAGGCTGTGCTGAAGCTGACCAGGCTGTTTGCTGCTTGCTGCAAGGAGGCAAATTACTGGGAGGCAGAGGCAGATTTTTTTCCCCTGGTTTCCTCCCCAAAAGCTAGGTGCATCTTATAGTCCAAAAAACATGGTAACTATCTTTATGTGACTTTTTCATTGCATTGATTTTATATTATTTCAATTTATTGTCTGTTTTATGTTATGGTAAAACTACTTAGAGATACCACTGTATGGTATACTGTGACGACTCTTCTTAATTGTACATATTTTGGTATTTTTTTAATGATTTCTATAAGCTGTCAAGAATCTGATTGACTTCAGGCAGTTAGATAAGTTTTAGGAATGAATGAAACAAACATAGATATAAGAAGCAGTAAATAAATGTATTAAATAAATAATATTACATTTACATCTGAATATGTCGTATTTGTTATGGTTGCTCTCCTAATAATTGGACAGTATGATTTTTAGTTAAACATATGTTGCTATACTGCTTTTGTTGCTATGGCTATTCCATTTTGGCTGTAACTTTCCTACATATTAAAATATCAGCAACCTATTCCACTTTCCATACATACATAATAAGTTCTAGCATGAGATAACAGAAGGGCCTTGGTTTATAGTGAATAGCATGCCAAGCTGCAGTGTGCTTGGAATAATAGCAGTGCCCACAGCATGAAAGCAATGAAAGACAGCTGTTACAATGGACCTACTAAAGAGAGTTCCTGTACCACCGCACCTCTCTCATTTAGTTTAACTGCATTTTTACTTTGCTAGAATTGTATATCCACCACTGACCATAGATTCATGATTTGAAATGGAATTAATTATGGCCATGAAATGGAATCTCTATTTTGAAGCAACACACTTCAGTAACTATTTGTTTTTCTTTCATTTAAGATTCTGTGGTGAGAAATGTATATTATAAATATTTCCATCCTAAAGAAGCCTTGGTGTCTAATGGAGTTTTAAATCGGTAAGTCATTTGTGGATAATAAGTCATTTCAGGCAAATTTTATTTAAATCACTGTATTATAAAATATTAATCTCAGTTGATTTTGTATTTCCCCCAATAAGGGAAATCAGCAGAGCTGCAGGAAAAACAGTGACTGGGATAATAGATGAAGATACTGGTGGAAATGATTCGCAGTAAGTATCCTGTATGCTACATTGAGCATGTTGGGTTTTTTTTAAGTGAGAGACCATTTTTATAGGGAAGTATTGTTACAGTATATTGTATCTGGAAATGCACAATGCTGCAATGTTTTAAAATTGGCAATGGCATTCTTTGCATCCTTTTTCTAGGGCTCTGACTTTTGTATATCCGTTTGGTGCTACATTAAATGTGATGAAACCTGCAGTGGCTGTTCTGTCTACAGGCTCTGTGTGTTTTCCTCTTAATAGACCCATTTTGGCTTTTTATCCTTACAAGGTACATTACTGAGTTACAACTTCTGTCCAACTTTAGTTCTTTATGATAAAATATATTTTCCTCTGTATTTTGTCATTTGAAAATACTATGACATGGTTTCAAACAAAAGGATATTAACAAGTACTCTATTCCCTTGCCCACCTGCTTTAGTAATTGTTAGAAATAGATACTGCTATCGTTAAAACACTTTAAAGTTGTGGGGGAAATTCCTGCTAGACTGGAAGGAGGTGTTAAGGAGTTTAGTCTTTGCACTGCAGAAAGCAGCATAGGCCTAACCAACCCCAGAATCCCTGATGCCTTATCTTATCCTTATCTAGGGAATGCAGTCAGTCAGGTGAGATTCTTCTAACATAGAGGACTAGCAATAACAAAACAATCACTTCATAAACGCATGGCCCAACATAGGAGAACAAAGCTATCAGGACTAGATTTAGCAATCTTATCTGTATTTAAAAGACAAAGGCCACTTTTTTGAAGACAGCAAGTCCACATTTTGGACAGAGAGGACCGCTGGTTTGAAAGAGGGGCCAAAGAGGCCATCTATGTCAAAATTGAACAGCCCTCTCTCAACAGAGGAGGAGGGCTATGACATTATCTTTCACTAGTCTACAACACAGTCCTCTCAGCAGTTCCAAGAAAGCTCCATACCAGTGATGGGTTCCAACCGGTGTTACCACCGGTTCTCTTTGCGCACGTGCTTTGCGTGTCCTTAGAAATTGGTATTATTAAAATCTAGACCTAGGTCTCAAGGCCTAGATATCATCTATTTGCAGTTGACCAGATCAGAATACAGACGTGTGTGTGTGTGTGTGTGTGTGTGTGAGAGAGAGAGAGAGAGAGAGAGATGCAGTATTATACATTTGTGTGTGTGTAAATGAAGTGAGTGTTGGAAGATTTTTTTAAAAACCAAATGTGCCTATTATAGGGCTGTATCTGTTGTCTGTTTCTCAGATCAGTTAAAACGAACAAGGAGATATGGAACCTTTGTGTATGCTGTTAATTTTTTTACTGGCTCAAGAAAAGTAAACTTAAAAGTGGTGCCTTACTTAAATCCTGATTAATCCTTGTTTGCCAACAAAATGATGTTAATTTAAAATAATATCACAATAACCATAGCAATTGTTCAGATCTCTATGTTGATTAGTGGTTCTCTTCATTATATCACCTACATATTATAAAAAATATACCTCACTCTTAAAATTGAATCAACTTAATCTAGATAGCACATTTTAGATTTTCCCTTAGATGATTATAATTCATACATGTGCTGTCCTATGTTTATTATTTGATAGACTCAAGGTGGCAAATTAGCAGTATTGGGATCGTGTCATATGTTCAGTGATCAGTATTTGGAAAAAGAAGAAAATACCAAAATCATGGTGAGGCATTGTTTAATCTTATAATCTTATGTCTTTTCAAATGAAAGATTGGTAATTTTTTCCCCTGAAGCTCAGTGTAACAGAGCATATTCAAACCAATGCAGGTAGAAAGGTTTGCTGCTTTATCCTTTCCTTCAGACCTTTATTTATTATGTGTTCATGCATGTATGCATGGATTCATGAGTCTTAAATACTGCTTCAATCAAATATACTGTATTCTTGGTTTTGTTTTTTTTTTGATACACTGATGCTAAGCCAGCCAATTTTTGTGTTACATTTTTTCCTGAAAACCATTTTTTCTTTGTCCTTGACAGTTACAGTTACTTTAATTGGGGAGAATGCATTTAATGCAGATACAATATTTTCCAGGCAATTTAAGAACTTTTAAACACTTAATACTTGATTGCTAGGCCATACACTTAATTCACTAATATAATAAAAAGTTTTAAAGCCCATTAAAGGTAATCAAACTTTCACAGAGATAAAGGGAATGAAGGAATTGAATTGTGGGGCCAGGTTTTTAATGATAGTTGTTTAAATGCTTTACAAATGTTACAAATTTCTGTGGTTTCTTAGGAGGTACTTTTCCAGTGGCTTACAACAAATGACATTCACTTAAATCAGATAGATGCAGAAGATCCAGAAGTAAGTGTATAATGTATGTATATATGTTGATGTACATAACCTTTATTGCACAAACCATAAGTTGTTATAAAATATTACAAAAATTAAACGAATTCATAAGGCATCATGTAATGGAAATGATATATCATTTTTGCCACAAACAAATAAATTTGAAGAAGCAAGATATAATTATTTTCAGATAAATATTTGGAATGTAAAATTAGTTTTTTTAAAAAATTATTTTTAATTTGATTTATATGCCGCCCTTCTCCAGAGACTCAGGACGGCTTACAATGCGTTAAGCAATAGCCTTCATACTTTTATATATTTATACAAAGTCAGCTTATTGCCCCCGCAATCCGGGTCCTCATTTCACCTACCTTTGAAAGGATGGAAGGCTGAGTCAACCTTGAGCCTGGTGAGATTCGAACTTACAGTAATTGCAGACAACTGGTGTTAATCACAATGCTTAGTCTGCTGAGCCACCAGGCTCTTATTAGTTAGTTAAAAAATTAGTGCAACGTTTCGTACTTACATGTGATTTTTCTTTTTAGTGTAATTGTAAGCCTTAAAGAAATTAAAGCTATATAGATGTAACGAATAAATTTCAGGTAAAAATATAATTCCTACTGGTAAATTAAAGGAAGATATCAAAGGCTAATTTTAAAAAACATAATAGTTAGGTATAGGTAATCAGCTGGACAAATACCTACATTTACCTTTAACCATAATTCTTTAAAATAAGTGATCAGCAGAATCAAAAAGGAGGCTGCAAGAACTGCTTAAACGCAGATTGAGGCATATTGTGCAGACCGTAGAACATCACTTAGCAACATTCTGTGAGATGGAGTCAGGCTGAACTGATAATAACAGCTGGAGGATTGAATGGAAATAGCAACTCCTGCCGAGCTTTATCCTAGTAGAAGTAATACAAAACAACATGATTCAGCATCCGAATTGTTCCGCCACTGCAGAAGTACAACTTCCACTCAAGCTGAGCATATCAATTTCTCCCCTCAGTAACATCCCAACATTGGTGGGAGGACATTAACTTTGATCAAAGAAAACTTCTCCTGAATTTAGGTTTGTTACTTGGTTGAAGTATTTTACTGGGCAGATTAGATGAGTAGATCTACTCAGAAACATAGACAAAGATGATAGGTCAATTTGTATGTTAAATCCAGAGGAGGCTACTTAAGAGTGGATAGTACTTATTCAGAGCCTTTGAGAACTCAAATAATTTTAGTTTCTCATAGAATACTTGGTTCCAAGAAGAATTAAAGTTCTCAACCAGTATTAGAGGAGCTAGACCAGTAGGAAAGAGTAACTTAAGCCGGTCAGAAAATGTCCAAGTCAATGTTTCAGTAATATGGCATCGAACTGACTTTACTGTACTTTACCATATTAGATTAAATTAGATGGGAAGATGGTCCTTAGAAATTGGTACTGTACCCTTTTTGAGAAGAATGACCTGAATGGGCCTATCTGAGCTCCAAAGAGAAATTCACCATGGGCCTTGTCCATAAAAAACTTTGAGCACAACAGATGCAAATTGAATTCCTTTTGAAGAAAAGGGGGGGGGGGGGGAAGGAGATTTAAGGCTGATTTTTCTGCATTTAACATAATTGGCATGGGGCTTAGAGTTGCTTCAGTACTTGAATGACTTAACAAGTTCTATTGGATGATTATTTAATTACAAAAACCATAACTTTTGTTTTAAAATAGTTGATTTCAGACATTTGTCCTCAGCAAAAGTCAGCAACATTGTTCATAGAGGTGATTGCTTTTCTGGTATAATTCTAAATCTTTAAAAAATAGTGGCATCAACCTGCATGCATTATGTATTATTGATATCAGCCTCCCTTTTTTTAAAAAAAAAAGCTTTGTAAATAACTGTTGGGAGTCACAATATATCTACAAATCTAAACAATTATGAAGCAAATCTTCTGAGATTATACAATCAGGGCAAATTGTCAGAAGACTACTAGAGCATGAACTACTTGTGCAAAAAAAATACATTTTCTCTCAGTAAGAATTCATCTAGACATGTTTGCACTAAAGTGTCCCAAGAATCTTGTGGGTTTTATTCCATGTAAATGGAGGTGTTATCCCTGTATTTTGCCTTGCCTTGTGCAGCATGATTCTATGACATATAATGAAGATCTATTTTTTCTCTGACCCACCTTTAGCCATACCACAAAGAGCAAAAATATGCTTCAAAATGAAATTTTTAATCACATAGATGCCCTTTCCTATTTTTTGATTTTAAAATAGGACCACTATACAGGACATGTTTAATAGCTTTAAACCTTTTACAATTGGGAGAATCATGCCACTCCTTATTGAAATGTTATAATTACCATAGCCAAAGTTTCAATATTTTGTTATGATCTTTGAACTAATTTAGATTATATTTATTTATTTTATTTTATTTACTTTATTAGATTTTTTATACCGCCCTTCTCCCACAGAACTCAGGGCCGTGACATGTTGTCAGATTCAGTATTTGGCCTGACTAATAACTTGTCACAATTTAAGTTAAAAGTTTTATTTAAGCAAATAAATAAATTGTGCTTTATTTCAGTGTTCAATGCTTCCCTTTCACTACCACCTTTCCAAGTTGGATTTCACAACAAAAAATAAAATAATTTTACAATCAATGTTTACATGAGTATATTCCGAACAAAGTATTTTGTTATTTAAAGCCATTTGTTATTCAAAAGTTTTGCATTAGGAGATGTATTTGCTCATAGTGTGAAAATGGAACAGATTGGTTTTGAATTCAGGTAGTCCTCAAATTACAACAATTTGTTTAGCAACCATTTGAAGTTACCCAGCACTGAAAAAAGTCACTTATAACCAGTCTTTGCACTTAGGACTGTTGCAGCATCCCCACAGTCATGTGATTAAAATTTGGGCGCTAGGCAACCAACGGTTGTGGTGCCCCAGAGCTAAGTGATTTGTCATTTATAACCTTCCCAGCTATCTTCCAACAAGCATAATCAGTGGAGAATCTGGATTTGCTTCATGACCATGTGATTCAGTAAAGAACTGCAGTGATTTGCTTAAGATCCATGAGAAAAAAGATTGTAAAATCGGGTGTCCTTCACTTAACAACTGTCTTGCTTAACAACATATTCTGGTCCCAATTGTGGCTGTAAGTCTAGGATTACCTGCATATTGTTAAATTTAGCATCTTGACTAGAAATTAAAATAGACTTATTTTATATTTACATATCTTCACTGTATATTAGATATGTAAATATCTTAACACCCATTTTTTTTAATCCCAGCTGCTACTTTGCTTTTTTGTTTTCAGATTTCTGATTATACAATGCTTCCTGATATAGCCACTTTGTCGGAACGGTTACGAGTTTGTCTGCAAGAGGGAGATGAGAATCCACGAGACTTTACAACACTGTTTGATATGTCTATTTACCAACTAGATACTACAGCGCTTCCAAAAATTATTAAGTCAGCATCTGAGAGTATTTGTTATTCTTAAAATAATAGCTTATTTTTAAAAAACACAATAACAAATTGGATTTCAATATTGCATGCATTGGCATAGAAATCTAAAATCTATAAATCTACAATGTATATATAATTGTGGTCTATTTTGGATAGGTAGCAATGAATATTATAATATTCAGAAAACACTCAAGAAAGCAAACAAATAATCCATCAATGGACTTCCATGTGTGCACCAGAATGTTTTAAAGTTTTATAAGAGTTGAGCTATATTAGCCCAGATCCAGAAAGAGGAGCAAATAATAATGGGCTGTGGCCAGGAAAGTTTCTTTTTCTCTTCTGTGCAGAATATTGTTTCCCAGTGGAATTGTGAGAAAAGTCCTGGATCTATGGTTGTTCTTGCTGTGCTACTTGTTGACTGATACCCATGTTTCCTCAGTGCAACACTTAGCACAGCAATCTCTTCTTTGTTTATACATCTCCTTAAGAATTAGTTGTAACTTTTTAAAAACCAAAACTTCTCATTAGCCTGTTTCTTGATACTATGTTTATTCTAAGAATTATCATTTCTGGACTATGTCCTTAATATATAACACCCTTTTCCTTATTGACCAATAGTACTTCATTGCTCAAGTTCTATAAGTCTTCTAAGTTTCTATTTCTGCATCAAAATCTTTAGAATTTTAGATTTTGATGCAAAAATAGAATATTTTCAATTGTACAGGTCAGAATATTAACCTTATGTGAAGTCCACAGGGTTATTGCAGTATAGTCCTAATCAGAGTTATTTTGAGGTTGCCTCAGTTGTGTTTAGGAATATACTTTCAGTAATATTATGTTCCAAATTATCAGTTTGATGTTTTACATTTATTATCAGTAATAATTCTGTAATATTATGTTCCAAATTATCAATTTGATGTTTTACATTTATTATCAGATTATGTAAGCTAACTGTATTCTACAGGTCTTATGAACAGCTGAATGTGAAATATGAACCACTTCAGCTAATTCAGCCACAGTTTGAAACACCTTTACCTGCACTCCAGCCAGCAGTGAGTAACAATGTCATTTGTTGTTACTACAATAAAATAAGTGTATAGGGAAAACAAGTATTTTGATTCTGGATATAAGATTTGATCCATTAGCAAAAAATAGCTAGAATACATAAGTTAAATTAAGGGGTCAGTATTACAAAAGATGGATAGGAGGCACATTATAAGACACTAGAATACCTGTAGTAAAGGTGAATCAAGTGTCTGAGGGAAAGGCTAAAATTTTAGATAAAGGCTAACAGAAATAAAGATTTTTAGTAGGTTATATATAGAACAGCTAATTGCTTTCTCATGGATATTAAAATGCTTTTATTAGTATCCTACACCAATATTCCTTTTTTTGAACAAATAAGGACAAATCAGACATTTTTGTTTCATCCTTTTGCTTATTAGGTTTTTCCACCAGCCTTCAGAGAGTTGCCTCCTCCCAGCTTGGACTTGTTTGATTTGGATGAAACTTTTTCTTCTGAGAAAGCTCGTCTCGCCCAAATAACAAATAAGTGTGAGTAGTTCAAACATTTGTGGTGAGTTTGCTAAGCTAATTTGCAGAATGATTGAGTACTTCAACAACTTGAATCCTCCACAATGGGCTATGATTTCAAATTAAGGTTGGTCAAATTTGCATCTATAATTTTCTGTTGTTTTCTCTAGAAGTATTAATTTATGAATAGTGAATATGGGGTTGGGGGTTGGGAGGTGTTACACAAATATATCCAAATAACAATTTCTCCATGTCTGGGTTTATGGTAGAAGTAATTTTGACCTGTTATTTTAACAGTTTATGTTAGGGATCCTATATTTTAGGATTGCTATATTTGATACAAAAAGTCTATTTTGAAAATCTTGCAATTGGAGAAGAAAGCATGAGGAACAAAGCCATAAATTCTTGATCAGGAGAGACTTTCCCACAAACTTAGACATGGAAATTCTGTTATCACTACTTTTAGAGTAGGGGTGTCAAACTCACGTTGTGTCGTCGTCACATGACGTATCGGGACTTCTTTCCCCTTCGCTAAAGTGGGCGTGGCTAGCGTGGGCCAGGAGTTTGATAGCCCTGTTTTAGAGAGATCAATAGGGTTGTTAGACCACTTTGGGTTTTTAAGATGATCAGAAGTATTGTAGCTAGACCACCTATTCAAGAGAAATGTGAAGTATTGGCAGGTGGTACATCTGTTATTGTATTCAATTTGGCCTTTGATTTAAAGTACCCTTTTCTTGATTTAGTCCTTAGTTTTAAATCTCTAGCAAAGTGATTTCTAATTCACATAATTTCTTAACATCTATCAAGACTTAAATCTTTAAGGCATACATTTTAATTCATTTTTAAACATAACTGTATCTGTGCTATAGTTCCCATGATTTTTTAAAAAATGGAATTGTTTTGATAAACTAAATCTAGTTTTGATAGTAAATCATATTTGGTTATGAATTGCTTTTAAAATATGAAAGTAAACTGGAATAATGAGACACTATATGCCTAAATGACTATAGAATATTGGGACAATATTTCTGTGATAATAGAAAAATCTGTATAATAAAGATAGATTATTGATATTATTCAGAGAAAACGTATAAAGTTATTGCAATATATGATTAGTGTTATAAACAAAATAAATAAAATTATACAATAGGTTAGAAACAAACAGAAGTCATCTATTATATGTGGAATTGTCTATTATTACTTGTATGTAATGAATACAACAAGAAAATATATTTCATTATGGCGTTCCATTAGATCCTCTGGTTTATTTTTTAGTTGTACAAATTAATTTGTTCAACAAACTCATAAGCAATAAGTTTTAAAAATAGTTTTGCATGCAAAATATGAAAGATTGTTGATGTTGCTGTCAGTAAAATAATAGTTACAAAATATGTAATAATTTGTCATTATAGCAGAGTCCATAATTTATAAGAGAGTGGTTGAAAATAGATGAAATATATAAGATAATTATTTAGGCTTTATTGAATTTTATAAAACTTATTTCAGCCAGAGGTGGGTTGCTGCCAGTTTGGACCGGTTTGGGTGAACTGATTGTTACGATTCTGCGCAGTTCAGTGAACCAGAAAATCCCACCACTGGCTGACCCTGCCCACCCAGTCACATGACCACCCAGCCAGTCATTAGGGCAGAGAACCGGTTGTTAAAAATTTTTTAGCCCACCACTGTTTTCAGCCAAAGTTCAATAGCAATTTCATCTTACCAATTATTTCTATTATTGCTTATAAGTAGACTTTACTTTACTTACTTTACTTTTATTTTATTTATATACCGCCCTACTCCCGAAGGACTCAGGGCGGTGAACAGCCAACAGTAAAATACATACATACGAAATTTAAAAAGCAGAGATAAAATCGAAGTAAATAGTTTGGCCCAGACAAATTTAAAACCCCAATCAATTTAAAACGATTTAAACTTTGAATATTAAAAATACTAAAAAATATTTTAAAATGTTAAAAATGTTTAAAAAGAGGGAGAAAGTTAGGCCAGGCCCACCTGGTGAAATAAAAAGGTCTTTAGAGCGCGGCAGAAGGTGTGCAGATCCGGGATCCTCCGTATCTCCGGGGGGAGCTCGTTCCAGATAGTAGGTGCCCCCACAGAGAAGGCTCTCCCCCTGGGGGTTGCCAGTCGATATTGTTTGGCCAACAGCACCCAGAGGAGCCCCTCTCTATGAGAGCGTACCGGCCGGTAGGAGGCCGTTGGTAGTAGTAGGCGGTCCCGCAAGTACCCAGGTCCAGACCTGTTGCTCAAAGCAACAAATGTGTGAACATTGGATAGAATGACAGATAACACTTATTAATGTTTTATATGAAAAAAACCCCACAGTTGCTGTTAACTATCTCTTTCACGTACAATTGTGCCAATGTTTTTTATCAATTATAAAAACAGATGTTTCAAATGATTTTATGTTCTTTAGAAGATGAGGCTTTATAAAGTCTTTACAGAAATAGGTACCATGGGTCCAATTAATATTTGCATCTATGTGTAGTAATACTTCTTTGTATTTTATTAGGTACTGAAGATGATCTAGAATTCTATGTCAGAAAATGTGGCGATATCCTAGGGGTAACTAATAAACTGCCAAAGGAACAGCAAGATGCCAAGCATATACTGGAGCATATTTTCTTTCAAGTGGTGGAGTTCAAGAAGCTAAATCAAGTAATTATTAAACATTTTTCTTCCAGCCATATATAATGGTTTTACAGGTGGTCCTCATTTAACGACTACTCTTCAGCAACCATTCAAACATTTGATGGTGCTGAATGTGTAGTAGTTACCACTGATCCTTGTACTTATGGCTGTCACATCCCTGTGGTCACATGATCGCAATTTTCGCACCTGGCTCACAATTATGACTTTAAAGCATCCCATGGTCATGTGATTGTGGTTTGTGACCTTCTCTGATGTCTTCTGACAAAAAAATGTGGAAGCTGCTGAAAAGTCACAAATCGTGGTAATGTGACCCATGTGGTCGTCACTTAACGAGAGCAACTGGGATGGCCAGAACTGCCATTGCTAAGTGATGTGGACATGTGGCTTTTCAATTTAAGAGCTTGTCTGTCACTTAACAATGGATTGTCCAGCCCAATTAATGCAGACTCTGTACAGGAAAATAAAATTAGATTGTGGGGAAAGTGGATAGCTTATTGATCTTAGCATGCTAGTTTGGAAGTAGCATAATAAAACCATATACCTGTGTGTGTGTGCAAGAGTATGTCCGTGAAATATTTTTATGGTTCATTTAACCCTTAATTAGAAGATACACAGGGATGGTGATCACTGAGTATGTGGGAATTAAAATATATTTTACTTTTTGCTGATTTTTCAAATCATTGTTCATGGCCACATTTCTTTTTGTAGTACAGCTCCCAAGATACTATTTAAAGTTATGTGGCCCAAAGGAAGTCGCATACAGTTGAATGTAGTGATGTTCCCATATAGACTGCATTTATGTATTTCTTCCTTCCTCTTCAAATTTCACATCTAACTCTGGTGCATAAAACCAGGCTGCATTTTTTATTCATGACTGAAAACTAGGTAGAAATAAGTTACCATATTTTTCGCTCCATAAGACGCTCCGGACCATAAGATGCACCTAGCTTTAGAGGAGGAAAACAAGAAAAAAATATCTGCCTCTGCCTCTCAGCCCCAGGAGGTGGGTCGTCAGGGCTCCGCTCCATTGCACCCACCACCGGTCAGCTGAGCGACGGCTGAATTCTGGCCTCCTGCAGCCCTGTCGATCAGTGGGCTGGCCGACAGGAAACACCGCCATTGCTGTCTCCTCCATGCCTGCTGCCTTCACTGGTGAACACTGGAGCCTTGATCGGCGGTTGGATCGACCTCCCAGAATACCACTGATCAGCTGTTCTAGGATTGGTGCCGGTGATAGATGGCAAGTGCCGGTGAATGGCGCCAGCAATCCCTGCCACCTGGAACAGCTGATTGGCAGTATTCCGGGAGGTCGATCCAACCGCCGATCAGCTGCTTGACGGCGAAGGCTCCAGCGTTCCACAGTGGCGGTGAACGGTGGTGGCAACAAGCGGTGGTATATGGCGGTGGTGACAAGCAGCAGTGGCAAATGGCAGCGGTGGTGGCAAGCCGTTCCCTGCTGATGCCTGTCGCCACCACCGCCCCAACCTCCTCACCCCACCGCGGCCTGGTCTGTGACGCAATATTCGCTCCATAAGACATACAGACATTTCCATCCACTTTTTTTGGGGGGGGGGGGGAGTGCATTTTATGGAGCAAAAAATACGATAGATTTTAGTCTTAACACCTTATGGTGCACCAACGTTATATCTTAAAAGAGGGAGATGATGATTTGAGAAAACCTGAATGATACGTCTAAATTCCTTAATCATTTTAATTTGTTTATAGTATTTAGTATTTATTTCAAGTTGTTTTCATTAAGTATTTCACAACTGAACATAACTCTAATGCTATGAAAGCAGCCATATACTACCCAAAGTACAGTCTGTACAGCATTTTTATATGATACATCCAGAAGTGGTTAGTGTTATGCAAAGTATCTAATCTCTCCAGGGTCTCCTTATGAAGGTTATTATCTCTTTAAAAAGCAAATGCCATAGTGCAATGTTCCTCAGAATAGTTCTATGTACATTGATTTATATGACTAGGGAATATCCAGAATTTGAGGCAGTACAATACAGAGAAAAAAACAAAGTTAGGTAGTTAATAAGATGAGCTGAGTTGGTGATGAAGTATCTCTAAATATTCTTGTTTACTAAAGTCAATTTCAGATAAAAATATGTTCCAATGTTATTTTTAAAATTTTAAAAGCTAGGAATGGAGAGTCCATGATGATGTATGATGTACTTTATTTTTTCTCTTTTCTGAAAGGAACATGATATTGATACAAGTGAAGTTGGATTCCAGGGTTTCTGAAAAATCCAAAGTGTAAACAATGTCTTCTTTTTGGAAAAAGAATCATAATTTATTGAACAAGCACATGACAAATGACTGTTACCTGCCAATTTTCTATATCCACACTATGTTGTAAATATGAAGATAATCTAAAATTTTGAATGAGAAACTGTCTTAGAGGCAGTAATTTTGATTTATATATATATATATATATATAATGTATATTTAATGTGTTTTTTAAATAAATCATTTGTACAATTTGAAATTCTTGTTTCTGATTAGTTCTCTAAAGATTCTTCTGAGCAATATAAATATGTATAATGGCTAGGGAAATGTGTGATAGTGATTAGTTATTGCAAGATATGAAACATAGATGGAATTCCATGTATTAGGAGGACTTAAAGGCCTGTCTTCAGGTACAGCTTTGGATGAGGAAGTCTGTTCAGGAATTCATGATCAAAAAGGCCTTTAAGTAGTTTAGTTGTAGAAATAGCTGTATTAAAATTTGTGTCTTAAGTGATTGTTAAAAACAGATCAAGGATATTCTCATTTTGAGTTAGACTGAGAAGGTCAGTTAAAATCTCAGGTTAAACATAGTTTATGTGAGGTCAAGGAACTACCTAAGGTGTTTTTTTAGTGTTGATAGAAAAATGTGCAGTTGAGTTATACCAATACTCAGCACAACAGAAAGTATTGAAATTCAGCACTGACTTCGATAATGGAAGTAGCTGATTTAATTTCAAGAGGAAAGAAATAAAACTGATTTCCACACATAATAAGCAGTGCTTTTGTTCTATTTGGTAACTTTATTTATAGGAACAAGGTATAGTCTTTTAATTCCATTTATTCCTGCTCAGTCTTCTGTAACAACTTATTTCAAGGAAATGGAAACTCATACTACTAACAGGTGGACAAGCAGGGGGAAAAACTTTATACAAAGGTTTGCTTCCTGCAAAAGTCAGGCTTTGGTTTAGGTTTCCAGCAAGCATAAAGAACCCATTTCATTTTGTACACTGTAAACAAATCCTGTTTTGACAATGTCATCAGGTGATCCATGTTCCCGAAAGTATAGGAAAAAAGAGGAACCTGTTATAACTTCCCTACTACTAGGCTAATCCAATTTAACAATTGGATCTTTGTGGATTTAAGAATCTATTTTAATTCAGTGGATTACAAGGCAAACATTGATGGCCCTTATACTTTTATTTCTCTCTAGTCCTTTACTCCAATAAAGAACCTCATCTGAACTGCCCAATTGTTTAGAAACTCTGGAGCCTCAGAAAACATTTAGTTTGCTACCTCTTTAGCAGTAATTGAGTTCATACAATGTGAATCATAATTTATTCATTAATCCACAACTAGATCTATGTATTGTGCTAGATCAAACCAAGTTGTGTCCAAGGATAATATTTGATCTGACAACATATTCCTTTAACTTAAAAGTCTTTTTGGATTGCTTGCTAATAACCAGGATAAAGCCAGTTCAGAGATTGAGAATTATTTACTGCAATAAAAGTTTATCCAAACCAAAGCCATAACTGAGATAAATAGGAGCAGCTATTATTCACAGCGGAGATTCCTAGATTTAGTTCTAGTGATTCCTAAGAGAAAAAGTAGGGACTAAATATACTGGCATCTCAATCCAGTTTGGAATAGCAAAATATTTATTCACATTTCAACCAACAATCCTAAAACCAACCCCAACAAAGACTAGACAACAGATTAATACTAATGCATATGAAGTAATATTTCACCTGATTAAGACACAAGCTGTTTTTATACCAATGTTTTCCATAGCTCATTGCTCATATTTCAGCTCTTCACATCAACTATAGTGGAAGAAGACATTCAGTGGTATGCACAGAGAATGGCAAAAAAGCTATATTGTATAGTTGTTTTGCATTTTTCAATAATTCTGTCTTTCATTTGTAAATTTGGATGCTCAATTACTAAATTATTTGCTATTATGCGCAGATCCTTAAATGTAAAAGGATAAAGTCACTTTCAGTTAGTCTTTGTGGCACAATATCTTCTCAGACAAATTTTTATTTATTTATTTTTTTTTTTTGGCTCACTTGTCAGCAGAAAGGATGGTAAGAAAAGCATCATCTGACTTCATTGATGGATCAGGTGGCATAACAAAATGTGACCTTTCCAGAGATGGTGTATCCATTTTTATGCAACCCAGGGAGCCAGTATCTTCTAAGCTTGCTTCAAGAGACAGAGAATTATCCACAGTGGCTTGTATTCCAGAAATCTCCCATATTGGTGGCTGTAGTGGTTTCTTGAAGACCACATCATCACTCATTTCAGAACTTTTTAATATCATGTGTTCAGTTAGTACAGAGGCGTCTTCTCTGCATGGTGTAGATGACTTAGTATCATGGTATGTGTTCGCTAAGGAATTTGCTTTGCTGTTATTAGCAGAACTCAAATTAGACAAATCAAAGGCAGATGGTTGGAATGGGGTTTTACAAAAAGATGTCCCACCGTCACATGATGTTTGCAGGTCCCCCTTTATACTACCTGAAGAAGATTCTGTAATGTTGATATTTAGCATAGTCCCTTTACTGTCCCAGTCTTCTGATTTGGCAGCACAATTCATGTCCAGAAATAAGCTGCTACCTGGAGAGTTGCTATTGCTGGAAGCACTCATCAGAAATCCATTGTCCAATATGTCTTTCAGGGACAAAGTACTATGATGGCTTTGAGAAGACATCTAGTTCAGGATCTGATAACAAAGATAACCATGTTAACATTAAACATTGATATGGAGTTTTCAAATTTCATTTTTTCTGTGCTGGTCACCAAAAAAGTTCTACTAGATTTAAACCTGGCAAGTCCAACTTTATTTGAAGAAGATATGGGGGCCAAATTGGGAACAGAAGTGACAAATTATCTTTCCATTGTAGGAATTGTACTTTTGTGATTCAAGAACCAACCAACTCTAGAACCAATTTTCTGTTGTTCTAATGCAAACCCTAATATTTTAAAAGTTGTTTAGCATAGGTGTAAGAATAATTTTTCAGATGTTCATATGCATTAGACTGTAGCCAAGACATTATTTAATACCATAAAGAGTAGTTTTTGACAGCCATAATTGACTTCCATAAGCAATTAAAGGAATACAGTAAACCCAGGGGTGAAATCCAGCAGGTTCTGACAGGTTCTGGAGAACCGGTAGCGGAAATTTTGAGCGGTTTGGAGAACCGGCAAATACCACCTCTGGCTGGCCCCAGAGTGGGGTGGGAATGGAGATTTTGCAACATCCTTCCCCCAGGAGTGGAGAGGGAATGGGGTTTTGCAGTATCCTTCCCCTGGAGTGGGGTGGGAATGGAGATTTTGTAGTATCCTTCCCCTGCCATACCCACCAAGCCACACCACACCCACAAAGCCACGCCCACAGAAATGGTAGTAAAAAAATTTGGATTTCACCCCTGGCTTGGGGTACTATTTTTAATAATAACTTAGGTGGACAAAAGTGCCAAATGAAGTCTAAACGTCTAGCTGAATGTGCAACCAATCATAATAATTTCATTGTATCATCGAATACCCCAGTTAGATTGTTGGTTCCCATCGACCCTTGAGATTCCCAATCATGTGGGGCTCATGACTTGGATAGCAGCTGGCAACCATGTCCTGCAAAGATGTTTTCCTAAGTGACAGAAGGGACATTGCTACACATCCCTCTCTTTGAAGAAAATGTAGAATAACCTAGGAAATCACCTATAAACATTTTTCGATTGCCATGACTCCACTTCCAGACAACTCTACCTGGATGGCTGAGAATCTTCAGCGACATACCACCCTATAAACATTTATACATTGGATACCTCATGCAAAGTCACAATAGAAAAACCCACTAATATTGATAGAATACCTCCTGTCATAGATATTTTGTCTTGGGTTCAGCATACGCTAAAATGCCACAATGAAATGATCCACCTGTTCAAAACTAAAATGCAGCTTCTCCATTCCAACATCAACTAACGCATACAAGCTCCATTTTACTCCAGGAGCTCCTTCCCCAACCCTGCATCGTTTTTACACTAGGTAGTTTATAAGCTAGACCAGTGTTTCTTGACCTTAGCAACTTTAAAATGTGTGGACCTCCAACTCCCGGGGAAATTCTGGTTACTGAAGTCCATACATCTTAAAATTATGAAGTTAAGAATTACTGTGTAGAACACCATAAGCAGCAGTTATCATTAATGTGGTCAACAAGAATCCTAGTCTTCACAACTCAGAAATAATTTGAAGCGTCCCTAAGTAATTGCAAAATATAACTATGTTGCTCCAAGACTACATGTTTATAATGTTTTTTTCTACAATGCTCAAGAACTAGTTAACCTGCATCTGGCATTTTCTGATTCAGTGGCTACATTGTATCATCTACTATTTCTCCAAGAATACATAGCTCTCACAGAGGAAGCATTTTAGTATTGTAATTTTGTGAAACACTAGAAATAAGGCAAAACAGAGTTTCATAAATTTCTGAGAAGGAGCAAAGCTCTTCAACCAAATCAAGGTCTAATTCTCCTAAAAAGGCATACTGGTAAAGAAGAGACCCTATTCAGACACCTCCGAAAATTCTTAGAAACTCTTCTCGTTTGTAAGTCTAAGAAATAAAAGCTTTTTTTTTTTTTAATTTAAAAGAAGGGTAACTCTACATAGTTCTAAACTAAGATACAGTTTTTTCTCCAGGAAAAGAAAAAGAACAGTATGCAGATTTTATACTTCTATTTCATATAACTATTAAAATTTTAGAACACCTGCCATAAAGATCAAAACTAGAACTTACCTAAGTTCTAATAAAACAATACAACTGTTTTTGGAAGCTTTAATGAATTACAAAGAAGGCTGTTTCTCTTCAAAAACTATTTCTCAAAGAGTTCAAGAAACGACAGCTAATGAATACTCTTATAAGCCCAATTCATATATTGTGGCAACTTTCTTAATTTTCCAATTAAACTTGTTTAGAAGACTGGAAAGTTCTGACCACCTGAAGATGCTTATAGAGAAAATTCATTACAAGGAAGTATCATTGATGTGTCTCACATGTGAATTGTAGTTGCATAACCCACCTGCTGCTTCCTCCTCCTTCCCCACATTGATTAGGTGTCCTTAAGTTGTTGTTAACTCTTTGCAATTTTCTCCATGATGGTCTGTCCCTAACCTGGTCTTTCAATGGTGCATTGGTGCACCTATCCCTTTGTCTCCTGACTTTGCACCAACTTATGACCTACCTCAGTTTAGCCACTTTATGCACCTGAAGAAGTGAGCTGCAGCTCAGTAAAGCTTAGGTCTTTTAATAAAATGTGTTAAGTTGAAACAGGCTTGACTACTGTAGACCAGCATAGCTCTCCTGCTACATTACTATGATACTTAACAGAAAATCACTCTGTTGATGTCCACAGACTTTATTGAGAAGTCCAAAATCAAAATGACAACCTGAATTCCTTTCTTCCACCTTTTACCACACTGTCTAAAATACTAATTTAACCCCATCTTTAACTATTGAAATTACTACTCTTCTTTTGGTTACTAACAATAGATACTAAAGGAATGCTATTTAAACAAAGGACATTTCTGCCACCCAGTGGTTATAAATATGAATGCCTTATCCTGGGGAAAACGTTTAAATTCCTGAAGCAAATGTTATGCTCTTTCATGGGAGATATATTGATTGCTGAAATATATATATTTTGCATCCAGTACTAAAATATTTTTCAATTGAAGCCCATACTCAATGGAAAAATTATGCTTTTCTAATTTAAAAACCGATGTTTTTAAATTACAAAATGCTGCAGGAATCAGCAATTACAATTACATGGTATAGTGAAAAAGAATATTGAGCTTACTATTCAAAAAAAGAAAATGCTTTTTTGATATATCATTTTGCATGCAGAAGTTTTAAGTTTACCCTTTTACAACCAATAATGTATTTTTAATTGTATCTTGATTTTAAGGTAATATTGGTTGGATTCACACATTGTACTATTTTTTAAAAATAAAGGCTGGTTGAAAGCCTCAGTTGACTCAGTCTGTACACAGTAATTAAGATTTAAGCTTATGTCCTCATACTAGATTAAACCCAAACAAACCACACTGGGCCTTAGGTACAATTACCTATTCAGGTACTTAATTTTTTTAAATATAGAAATCCAAATTACATGACTTAATTTTGGAGAGTTGGTAAAGTTGCAGCATGCATTCTTGGAAAACATATTAAATGGTCTAGAAAATGAAGAGAACTTATTTTTTATATGCTGGTGCCAAATGAGGAAGATATGAGATGCTGAATGGTGCATTACATAGAATACAATGTGAATTTCAATCAAGGTCAGTACAGCCATTGCCTATTCAGTCTTTTAAAACTGTTACAATGTCTTATGAGCTATTGAGGAACTGCTGTGGGTCATTTCCATGTCAAGTATCCCCCTTCCACCCTCAGGCTAGATGACAATCAATGTGGAGAAACAGCTCTGTTATCTGAAATCTCTAAAGTGGCATTGCCTGAAGCCAACAGATTTCTAGAGACCATCAATCATTTACAAATGATGTACATCTTTGGCTGAACATAGGAGTTTTGGTACTGATTTTAATGCAAATAAAAGAGCAAATATGCCATATTTCTTGAATCAAAAAAAATCCTTCTTCAGCTAAGCATCCACATGTGTTTAATTTTAACTTCCTGAATTGGTTTAATTTGTGGAAAAGATCATTTAAGTATTAAATTCAACCATCTGATCTGTGCAGGAAGCCAAATTAAAGCATCTGTGACAGACAAACCTCTCTTTTCTGCTTAAAAACACCATGAGGAAGGACATTCACTATGTTTTTGAGATATTGGTTCTTCTGTCAAATTAGTCTTGTTGTGTAGACATGTTTAATATTCAGGTGAAATCTAGGTTCTCATTTAACAGCAGCATTCCATGTCCTGCACTCTGTGATAATAGAAAAGACTTGAGCCTTTTGAGTGATATCCTATAAAGATCCTCTTACAAATACTATTGTCAAGTCAGGCATCCCCCATCATCTATCTGTGAATTTGACTTGTGTTCCCTATATGAAGAATTTTCCACTCTTCCATGTTAAATGTGTTTTATTATTTTTAGCCCATTTTGAACCTATTTTGTTCTATAAGGTATAAAACTGTCACTGCCAGTTTTTCCATCATGAATGGGGTTACTGCAGTGGGGAAATCAATTTTTTTTACTACCAGTTCTGTGGCTGTGGCTTGGTGGGTGTGGAGTGGGTTTGTGAGTGTGGCAGGAGAAGGATACTGCAAAATCCCCATTCCCTCCCCACTCCTGGGGGAAGGATATTGCAAAATCTCCATTCCCACCCCATTCTGGGGCCAGCCAGAGGTGGTATTTGCCGGTTCTCCAAACTGCTCAAAATTTCTGCTACTGGTTCTCCAGAACCTGTCAGAACCTGCTGGATTTCACCCCTGGGTTACTGTATCCCTTTAATTGCTTATGGAAGTCAATTATGGCTGTCAAAACTGGGTAAAAGGCAAAAGAAACAAGTATTTTTTTCCTAGCGGCTTAAAGGACTGCAGAGGTTTAATTTCTAACAACAAAAAAAAATCAGCCTTGCAGAAACCAAAATGGATCTGAATAGATTTACAATTTGCATTTCCTGTTGAGCTGCAAGGTTGAAAGTACACCACAGTTAATCCTTAAGAAATATATCTTGAAACAGCAAGCCCATTTCTATATTATCTCTTGTATGGATCTTATGCTTCAAACTCTGGAGTCCATGGTGCTCTCTGAGCTACCATTAGCTTGAGAATCTGCAGGGAAGCAACTAGTGACAGTACATGGATAAAATGCCATCATGTAAATGATATAAATTATTTACTCAAATGACATAAATTTTACTATTTGGGATATGGAATGTCATAATTTCTTGTCAGGTGACTGTGAAGCCCGTTCCTGGTTTTTTCACACTACTCATTAAATTAAAGTAGCTTTGGGTTTTGACTTAGCATAGCCAGTGTTTGCAAAATATGACATGTCATTTATTGCCTTGCATGAACCCACCATTTTTCAAGTAGAGCAGATACAGAAAAATATATAAGTGGAAGTCTTTATCCAACTAAGGTCCCTTTTAAATGTTAAACTACAACACCCATCAACCCCCACAATATCCATGGCGGCTGCAGTTGGTGTAGCCTTCCGAATCTGTACGACTAAGACATTATTATATTTTTATTTTTATATTATTATTATTATTAATAATAATAATAATAATATTAAGCGCTACATATGGTACTTCTTTTTGGAAGACTAGCCATTTCTGTACCGTAAATACCCTTTTATGAACCTTGCTTGATGAAACGTCCTAGCATATTCGTAACAGTTAACCTTATACTCAGGTAACTTAAAATGTGTTGGCTTGATGTGGAATTTTTTGGCTCTTTATTTGTTCTTTTAGAACCAACGCGGCCGCTATGGTTTTTTGATAGAACGCTCCGTACTAAAAGACCCATTTTGGCCGCCTGAAGCTATCGATTTTACAGCGGATGCATGGTTGACTCTGCCTTTGCTACCAGAGGCCGTAATTCTTTCTTTCTTTCTTTCTTTTCTTTTGGTCGAGCACTGCAGGAATGTTTTGCTTTTCTTTCTTAAAAAGGAAAATACAAAACCCCCAACTTGCCCGCGCGCGCCACTTTCTCCCAGCCCACCAACCCGCCTTCCTATCAACACGGCTCTCGGCCGCGTCATCAGGCGCGTCACCACGCCGGAAAAGGTGGCTGGTTGCGGCGGGGTTGGCGCGAGATAGAAAAGTCCGCTTTTGGGTTCCCGGGCGGGAGGCGGCCGAGCGAGCGCGCTTGCAGTTGCGCCGGAGTTGGCTGAGCGCGCTCTGCTTTGGGAAGGTTTAGCGGCATTTTTTTTTTTTTTTGCGCAGCCCTGGCGGTGGCGGCGACTTCTCCGTCGGGTCCCCGGTGTGGCTTTTTTCCCCTAAAGCCAGTCATTTGAAAACTTCTGTGGCTTGTTTTATGATTTTCCTGCAAAAGCTGGAAGGCAGCAGAATGTCTCGTCGGGCTCGCTGGTGAGTTGCGGGGAAGCCGTGCATTTTTGGGAGGGCTGCGCAGAGATAGACCGGGGTAGGGGGGTTGCTTCTCCCCTCCCGCCTTTTCTGGAGCCAATTCCCACCTTCCTTCTCTCCTCTCCCCCCCACCTCCCCAAACCCGAAAGCGCTTGCTCCGTTTCGTCCATTTATCCCGCCGCTTCTCTCCCCATCCACCCCACGCTTCCCTTCCCGGCGGTGGGTTTATGAAGCGAATGAACCTATGGAGCAAACGTGGCAGATGCGTCCATATAGATTGCCAATCTGCTGGGGAGGAAGAGGAGGAGGAGGAGGAGGAAGGGGGGACGCTGATGGTTATCTGAAATGGAGAGATGAAAATGGCTCGCGTGAAATGCCTGGGCGGCAAAGCAACCCTTTTTTTTCCCTCCAGGCTGCGGCTGGGGGTGGGGTGGGGTGGGGAAGAGAGGAAAATAGGTTGGGCCCTTTTTGTCTAGGACGCATTGCTCCGGGTTGAGAAGGGACGTTCTCTCCAACCTGGTTCCTTCTCCTTCCACCCCCAAAGAACCTGCTTGAAAAACGTGGCCTTAGCTCCTGACCTTCATAAGTGTCTATGGGGATTCTCAATCATCCAGGTCATGGTTGTCCCAAAGGTGCTTTTTCGGGAGGCAACTGGCCTTTTGGTTTTTCTTTGAAGGCCTTTCGCTTCTCACCCAAGACGCTTCTTCAGAAGCTTATACAAGAAGCGAAACATCTTCAAAGAAAAAGCAGAAGCTTCTTGAAAAAGCACCTTTGGGATGACCTTAATAAGGGCCTTTCAAGTTTCAAGTTCATAGTTTTAGGATTTTGATGAAATGAGATGGGGGGGAGCAGTTGAAACCATAATGATAGTGGGATCTCCGCCTGTAAGAGGTACTGTAATGATTGAGTCAAGATTTTTTTTAAATCCCAAGGAGTTAAATGCTCTAGGTATGGATTTATAGCACATTAGACTCTAATGTGAAGGGCTCTGTTTTAAGCTCACAGATTAAAGAAATATCTTAGCTACTGATCTCATGATAGGAATGAATTTGACTTGTTGGCTTTATTTCCCAGGCTGTTGCAAGGATTCTGGGGTACGTTCTAGATCAATAATACTATCCTGTTTCTGGTTATGAAAAGCAAGTTAGAATATAGGAAGCCGGAAGCTGTTCAGGCGTGGGCTTTGGCGGATTTCCAAAGAGAAAATTCCAAGCATGAGGGCAACTGACAGATTTACAGATGAGATCAGTGTTTCTAAAGCTTCATTGTGAAGACATTTTGAAATGTCAGGATGGCTATAGAATGTATACGTAATTTTTTTCCTTTGGCTTCCACAGCATTGTATGGATTAGTCCAGTGTATAGGGCAGTGATGGCTAACCTTTTCCGGATTGAGTGCCCAAAGTGCGTGTGCGTGCCCAAACCCCCAAAATGCAATGGGCGTGAGGCCCTGTGCATCTCTGCACCCCTCCTGCACATGCACGACCCCTGTGCATACACATGGGGCCTCCCGCACGTGCCCTGCCATGCATGCACAGCAGAGACCTGATGACCAGCTGGCCAGAGGGAGGCACGCGCGCATGCGTGGCAGAGCTGAACTGGGGTAATGGCTCGTGTGCCTACAGAGAGGGAGCTGCGTGCCACAGGTTCGCCATCACGGGTATAGGGATACCAATCTGCGTAAAGTGATTTGAAGAACTGAGTGTTTGCAGGTGAAGATTTTGCCAAAGTGTTTTATTTTGCTAAACTAGATAGAAATGAATTAGTATTTGTAAGTGAATGTTTAAATATAACATTTCCCTCTCTTTTAAAACCTGTTTATAATAGTGAAGAGCAAGAAGAACTGCTTTACCAGGATTCAGATGTGATAGACCGACGGGATAACAGATGTAAAGTCAAGTGGTCTCGTGAAGAAGTATGTATTGTGTTATTCATAAGGAAAAACTGGGGAGATTGGCCTTGGGCCAAGCAGGTGTGAGCCTCTGAAAGAGGTGAATGCATAAGAAAAGATCCATTGACAAGTTTGGATACAAATATAGTAAATAAACCGGATTAGCCTGCTTTTGAATTATTAAAAGCATGCTTAACATTCTCATAAACCAGTACATGATTGGAACACAGACACGTTTTGTTATTGACCAAATTATAAGTGAAAAAAGCAAGTAGTCCTTAACAGCTATTTATTTAGCAACCATCAAAAGTTACAGTGGCACTGGAAAACATGACATATAACTGATCTTCACACTTAAAACTGTTGTAGCATCTCCAGGGTCACATGATCAAAATTCAGGCACTTGGCAACTAGGATGTTTACAATGGTTGCTGTGTCCCAGGGTCATGTGATCACAATTTGTGACTTAGCTTCTGACATTCAGTGGGAGAAGCCAGATTCACTTAGCAATTATATGATTTACTTAATAACTATAGTGATTCACTTTGGCAAAAGTCATAAAATTTTGCATGACTCACTTAAACAATCCCCTTGCTTAGCAACAGAAAATGAATTCCCAATTTTGGTTGTAAATCAAAGACACTCTGTAATACCAAAAATGCATGTATGAGTCAGCTCTTTGGATAGTAAATATTTGCCAGAGCTCTGTGTTTGCTTCTGTTTGAAGCTTCTGTTTGTAATCTTCATTTTGGATATTTTCCTATGAAGCGAAATCCAGAGCAAAAGTTAAAGAGGCATTTAGTTCCTGATAAATTATATAGACCTATCCGGGTTCTTTCTGCTTCCTGTTATAAAATCCCTGTATTATGTGTATAGAATTTCTGTAAGGTAATATTTTATTGTATAATCTGCAATCAAGTCTGGGGATCTTGAAAGTTCTTGAAGGGGGCAATTGAAGTTTTATATTTCTCCATACATCAGAGTTGGCCATTTAGACAGAGTATTTGCTTCTATCGGATCCTATGTGCTATTCCTGCTGCATTGTGTACTTTGTGATAGTAGTGTAACCTGCTACCTATGGATAGTTGTTCAGTGTGGTCAAATCACATAAGAATTCAAGATTCTGTTCCTTATTTTGTGTTAGGTTGTGACATATCCTGACAATCTTGCTCTTTTTAGGATGAGCTATTGAATTCCCTGGTGACACAGTTTGGACATGACTGGAAATTTCTAGCAAGTCATTTTCCTGTAAGTGGAATTTTTCAGTTGAATATACTTCTTGTTGTTTCCCCTATCTGCAGAAACAATTGAAAGCCAAATTTGCAGAAATGTAGCTGCTGGTTAAAGTGCTAATGCATGTCTCTCTTGCTTTCGATTTTTATTTCTGTCTTACTAAAGTTTCATTTAACATAAACCTTTTTAAATTTGCTCATAGAACCGCACTGAACAGCAATGTCAGTATCGCTGGCTAAGAGTGCTAAACCCTGTTCTTGTGAAAGGCCCATGGACTAAACAAGAAGATCAGAAGGTAATTCATTATTCAGTAGTTACTTTTGGAGCTGAGGAACTGAAATGTTGTCTTCTTTGTGATAGGGAGCTGCAGGATGCCTAATATAAGAAGTGGAGGAATTGCTGGGCATAATTCGCAAGCAAGTCTTTCACAACCTAGGGCCCTTGCAGCCAGAACATTGGCAGGAAATCTGGGTTTATATCTATAAGTATGATGGATGTCGGCCTGAATTCAACTTCCCATTGGAAGATAAGAGATATAATTCAAATATTTTGCCCCCTTCACACAATATAAAATTTTGTAGTATAATGAGAATCCAAACATTTGTTGCAGTTTGAACTATCTGGGCTCTCCAATACTCCTTTCATATCCCCAATGTTGGACAATTTTTAAATTATTTTTTTTAGAAAGTGTTATGCCTTGAAATGCCTTACAGGGCTTAAAATGCTGATTTTGCCCATTCAAGATATTAAACCCTTATCCTCGAGTTGGGTAGTTTCCCCAGTTCTAAAGAGAGCCTAAAAACAAAAATGAGTGTCTTTAGCCAACATCGCCCAAAGTGGATCAGAAATGCATGGCCCTGCTTAATTGCATCTTTCCACATACTGTAGATCAGAGGTCTTCAACTATGCTGCTGGAGAATTCTGGGAGTTGAAGTCCACAAGTCTTAAAGCTGCCACGTTTGAAGACCTCTGCTGTAGATCCTTGTATAATGGTTGAATGTCAATGATCAAAAGTGCATCTAATAAAACTAAATGTAACCATTCTATATTTGTGATGAGGTCATTGAATTGGTGAAAAAGTATGGCACAAAGCAATGGACGCTCATAGCCAAACATTTGAAAGGCCGGCTAGGAAAGCAATGTCGGGAACGCTGGCACAACCACCTGAATCCTGAAGTCAAGAAATCATCCTGGACGGAAGAGGAAGACCGCATAATATGTGAGGCTCACAAGATACTTGGAAACCGGTGGGCTGAGATTGCCAAGCTGCTCCCTGGAAGGTACGTTTAAAGGCTGTTGAAGCAGCCATCTTTCAGGATAACAGCGCTTGCTGCTGCTGCTGCTTCTCCTTGCTAATTCTGCACGTATTTATTGTCTATTTTTAAAGGACTGATAACGCTGTGAAAAACCATTGGAATTCTACAATCAAAAGGAAGGTGGACACAGGCGGCTTTCTTAATGAAGCAAAAGAATCCAAACCTCTTTATTTGCTCGTGGAGGTAGAAGGCAATGAAGGACAAAATACACCAGAAGGGGAAAATCAGGTAGTGCAAAACATTTTATCTTTCAGCTGCCTATTGAACGTTTGAATAACAAGCTTAGTTTTGAAGAAGATTGTGTATTGTAGTGCTTGATGAAGTATGGATGTGCAAGATGCAACATTTTTAGGGTTAGAATTGTAAGGTACAATATTTCTGGAATATTCTTTTTCATGGCATGAATGGTCACACTTGTAACATCACAAATAACTTTGTCTTCTAGAAGATTTATTCCAAAAAACTACAAGCTATACCCAAAATTGCTAAGTCACTACATTCCGGGGGTGGGTGGGTGGGAGCAGAATGTTTTCAGGTAGAATGAAATATTTTATCTCCAGAATGCTGAGATTTGGATGCAATCTTCCTTTCTGCAAGGCTTAGCTCTGTAAAGGACTAGGAGGGAGATAGCATTTGGAAGCAAGAAAGAAAATAAAATTAAAAGCATTGAAGTGACTGTTGCTTCAGAAGTAGGGTAAGAAGCTCCTATCAGTTTTGACCATATTGGTGGTTACAGACTTGAAATCCAACATCTGGATTTACAAAAAATATTGTTTTCTGCATTTGTTTGATATGAAGAAAATACGGTAGGTCTTATCTGTGTTCTTCCTACCTCTGATTTTACAATCTAAAGCAGACGTCTTCAAACTTGGCAGCTTTAAGACTTGTGGACTTCAACTCCCAGAATTCTTCAGCCAGCATAACATAGCTGGCTGGAGAATTCTGAGTGTTGAAGTCCACAAGTCTTAAAGCTGCCAAGTTTGAAGACCTCTGATCTACAGCTTGGAACATAAACAATGTTTTTGTTTACAGTGGTACAAATCTTCACTTATCTTTTACAGCAGCAGTTTTTGACCAACTGGCCTGTCCAGACTTTGGAAATAAAGAAGGAAGAAGTCGCTGATGAAGAGCCAGCAGATCTACAGATGTTGCCGTCTGAGCCAATGCTTGAAAGCCTAGTGGAGCCCAGTGACAATGAAGCATCAGAAACCATGGTGCCAGAGGATCCTTTGAATGGGAGTTCTGTGTGCACATGGGTGGTTGAATCAGGCAATTATTTATGTACTGCTGCAGCTCCAGCTATTTCAGAAGCCCTGGACATGATTGAATCTGTAAGACATGGCTTAATTGAATATTTTGATAAACTAACTCAGTGTTTTTCAAATTAGGCGACCTTAAGATCTATAGACTTTTAACTCCCAGAATCCCACAGCCAGCAAAGGAGTGAGAAGTCTATAGATCTTAAGGTTGCCAAATTTGAACTATATAACCAAGGGTAGGAAGAGAATGCGGCAGGAGGTTATTTGAAGGAAACAGTCATTTTGATGGAGGGGGGCTCTGGATATGTATTGTAGTGAATCTGATTTCCATTGTTATTGGCTTAAACTTAGTGTAAATGTATCTTTGAATGTATATACAGTATATCTTTGCTGATTTTGATTTGATTTTAATGTTTTGTGATTTATTAGTGATTTGCTGATTTATATGTGACCACTGTTATATCCATTTCCATAAACTGAATATAATGGTTAAGATACTGGATTATGAATGGAGAAAATTCCGAATTCTATATCTAATTTAGAAGTGCTGGCTAGGTGAGTTGGCTCAGTTGTCTTTAGTGATGTTATGGCCCGCCAGCGGCCAATGGAGCTAGCAGCAGATTCAGTGCCAATGGAGCTGGCAGTGACGAGGTTGGGGAGGAACATGGGCCAGTCCTGGAGTCTGGGGAAGGCTCTGATGAGGGCTCTGCGTCGGAGGCAGAGAGAGGACCAGGGCTGTATGCCACTTATCAGCTGCCTTCGGAGTCAGATATCAGTGAGGCAGACGAACAACTGGAACCTGTTCCCAATGTGTGCATGCTCAAAGTTGCCAGACGAAGGGAATAGCTAAAGAACAAGAGTCAGCTTGGGAGTAAGGCCACAGGTGGACGATGAATGGCCCCCTCCTAGAGGGGATAAAAGAGGAGCGAAAGGGGAGTGGAGTTTGCAGGAGGCAATTAGTTTGCTTAATTGGTTCGTGACTCCTTGCCAAGTTTTGAAGATATCGGCCTGGCAGCTCTCCAAGCCAGATAAGGTCTGTGACTGTAAATTCTCCCATGAAAGTCTTTGCTGGATGTGAATGAGAAGAATTCACAGTAACTTAATAAAAAGGGTTTTTTGTCAGGACAAGAAGTCTGCTTCATGCTCTTGGGAAGCCTAGGTCAGAACAAGTGTACTCAAAATCTATCTACCAACAGGCGCTAAAGCAGTGCAGGAAATAGATCTAGAACCTTCCATAAGAGGCTTATGGATTGATTTCGGCTGCTGTGATAATAAAACTATCTCATAACGCAAAGCTATTAGCAGAATTTTTTTGTCTCTTCCTGTGTTTGTTATTTGCAGCCTTGTCTTAGATCAGGATCTTATTCTGAACATTCCTATTCTGGCAGGACCCAGATGGCTGGTGTGATCTCTCTCAGTTTGACCTACCTGATGATCTGTCTGCAAGTAACAGCAACAGTCCGGAGAGGCAAGCCTCTATAAAACCCTACTGCTCATCACAGAATGTAACAGAGTACCGTTTAGATGGCCACACCATTTCGGATCTCAGCAAAGGGAGCAAGGGTGAACTCATCCCCATTTCACCTTGCACAGACATGAGCTTTGGCACCCCCCCTGCTGTGCTCAAGAGGCAAAAGAAGAGGAAAATAAGTCTCTCGCCAGTTTTGGAGCGTGGCACCAGTACAAGCCTTTCCTTCCTTGATTCCTGTATGACACCCAAGAGCACTCCGGTTAAAAGCACCCCTGTCAAAACTTTGCCATTCTCCCCATCCCAGGTAGGTTGGTATAAATTGGCAACGAGGTGGACAAAAAAGAACAAGATAAAGGCTAATTGTGCCAAGATGCCAGGGGTGAAATCCAGCAGGTTCTGACAGGTTCTGGAGAACCGGTAGTGGAATTTTTTAGTAGTTGGCTGGCCCCAGAGTGGGGTGGAAATGGAGATTTTGCAATATCCTTTCCCTAGAAGTGAGGAGGGAATGGAGGATTTTGCAGTATCTTTCCCGTGGAGTGGGTTGGGAATGGAGATTTTGCAATATCCTTCCCCTGCCACGCCTACCAAGTCACACCCACAGAACCGGTAGAAAAAAAAATTGGATTTCACCACTGCAAGGTGCTCTCTTTTGTTTAATGATATAATGGTCAATTTTTGACAATTGACAGCATCCTGTTTTTGGTGGAATGTGTGCTTATAGGAGTGAAAGGTGTCAGACTTCATTTGAAACCTATTTTTAAGGAGGGAATTCAGACTAATGAAAAGCAGTCATCAGTAACTATATAGACTTTTGCACTGTTTGCAAGAAAGATTGGGTTATCTTTTCCTATCTGGTTTTTTAATTTGATGAAGTCTGCACCTTCCAGAATTGCTGGCTAAAATAGCTAATTGACAGAAACTGGCCAAACTGATTGGGAATTTTGGATGTTGTAATTGTAGCACAGGACATTAGTTTGATGAAAATTCAGCTTGGTATGAGATGAAAATGATACACAAAACCATGCTTTTAAATGTTAGAAATTGGCCTGTTTATATCCTGATAAAATCAGAAATAGGTGGCAATCTTTTGCAAGCCAAGGCAATTTTTCTACAGTACAGGTAGTCCTTGATTTACAACCATAGTGGGGACTGGAACTTCCTTCACTGAGCAATATGGTCATTAAATGAATTGTGATCAATTTTACAACCTTTTTGCTGCAGTCATTAAACAACCCGGCTTCCTCCATTGACTTTGCTTGTTGGAAGTCTCCTGGGAAGATCAGAAATGGTGATCACAGGACCATGGGGACACTGTAACAATCTTAAATGTGAGGGCCAGTTGCAAGTAACATTTTTAAGCAATTTTGTAACTTTGAACAGTCATTAAACAAATCTTAAGTCAAGGACTACCTGGTAGTAATCTTGTACATCATAGCCTCCGGATTCTCACTTTAGGGCACCCTGTTTTCTTCTGCATCATATTTGGGTTTTTTTTATCCCTAAGAAGTGTTCCTCAACCTCAGCGACTTTAAGATGTGTAGAATGCAGACCGCTTGTGGCTCTAAAGTTGATAAAATACCATCAGTGACTGTTTTGGGTTTGATTTGTTCAAGTTCTTCCTCTTGAGTTTCTGCTTACAAAAGATTTTCTCCATGGGTGAAATTTGTATGGACTTCTTGGAATGTATTCTTACAATTGGCCACAGGTGTCAAACTTGCTGTATCACGTTGCTGTCATGTGACTTTTGGCGACGTTTCCCCCTTCATTGAGCTGGGGCGGGCGTGGCCTATTCATGACACATCTGGCCCGCGGGCCACCAGTTTGACATTCCTGAGTTAGGCATTTATTTGAGATGGATATTGTCCTTCATCTCCAGCCTTGTTTTGTAATTTTGTGTTTTTTTGAATTTATGAGTCCAACAATAGCAACTTGGGCCTTTTTTGCTTGGCCTCAATAACATTTAAGATAGAAAGTGCCCTGAGGATCTTGCTTCTTACAGATGATTGAACATAGACAAATGCTGTTGGATGTTTGTTGTAAAACTGTTACCAGGTACTTCCATACTGACATCCTGTGTCATGTTTATTGCCAATATGGAAGCCCTCCTGTTATATCAGTTTTTAAGATTTGAAAATGCATTCTTTGATATTGACCTGACCTGATATTGACTAATTAATAATTAGAATTTAGTATTAAAAGCTATAGGGATTTAAATTTAGCATTGGATTACACATATACATTTACCTCCGTTCCCATGTCTCAAAGTAAGAGAAATGATTTGAAAAGGTATTTTCTTCCTTATTCATAAGCTGACTTTACTGAGTTAGTCCATTCTATTAAATCCAATACTGACTGGCAGAATTTCAACTAATATGTCCAGGAATTGTTAATGTGTTTCTATTGAATTATAGCTTTTTACTCTAAGCCAGAAGCCAAGAAGAGGAAACAATTCCTTCCTAGAGGATTCTTCCTCTATTTTTGGCTTATTTGCAATTTTTGAGCCCAACTGGGAAGCAAGACAATTGCCCTGAACGGTTAAGTAACAGTTCTCTTCTATACCAACTCTTCCAGATTAGTATGGAGGGGAAACATATTAATGTGTGGAAATAAATCAGGCCACAAATCTAACTTCCTTTCATGAGCTCTAGAGCCTTCTGTCTGGAAAAGTTTTATTATTATTATTATAAGGAACTGATATTCCTGTTTTTTTGATATTTCTGTGAATAGACTACTCACCGTCAGATGGCTTTAGCACAGAGACAAAACAGATCTCACTGTGTGAGCCTGCTGTGTAAAGGCATCAGTAATTACGGCATATGATGGAACCTAAAATGAAGATAAAGAGCTTTTTTCCCCCTTTTCCTCTATCCTCTGCTTTTTGGATGCTTTCTATTGAAATCGAGATGAATTTTAGGGTGTTTTAGAAGTGACAGGCTGCGTATTTGGAACAGAAAATGTTTCTTTATAGTGCGTCAGATCACTGCTCTATACATTTGTGCCTATCTGCATGGTTTCTGAGAAGAGTTGCTAGGGTGAGAGGCTGAGGATTTAAAATTATACATTGTGTGAAAGTATGGCAGAATTTATATCTTGCAGGTATGAGAGTGAGCAGGATATTGCAGAGTAGACACACTGCTCAGTCCTCTGAAGTTCTTGTAAAATGCGGGATTACCATATTTTTCGGAGTATAAGATGCACCGGAGTATAAGATGCACCTTAGTTTTTGGGGAGGAAAATAAGAAAAAAGCTGATTGGTGAGTGGATCGGCCTCCTGGAATACCCCCAATCAGCTGTTCTCAGAGGTGAATTTTAGCAACAGGTTCGTGCTCTGTGCCTTGCTTTTTTTTCTGCCTCTGAAACTTCTGAAACTCTGTTTCAGAAAAAACTTTTTTTTCTGCCTCTGAAAGTCTCCGAAACAGCTTCATAAAAAAAGGCTTTTTTTCTGAAGCTCTGTTTGGAGGCTTTTTTTCTGAAGTTTCTTTCAGAGGCTTTTATTCTGAAGGACTATTTGTATTCTGTTCAAATCCTTTCTTTGGTATTGGTATGTAGATTAACCTCTTCCAATCTGTTGGTTATTGTGTCATTCTCCAGATTTGTTAGCATAGTTTGGTTAGAACCTTTACTGATTCTTCTTTTGTTGCTTGCCATATTATTTTAGATGAAAGCCTTTCTGAGGCTTTTTTTCTGAAGCTCCGTTTCAGAGGCTTCTTTCAACGTCTGAAATCTCCATTTGCGAGGCTGGGCGGGGCTACATTTGGAGTATAAGACGCACCCAGATTTTCACCCTCTTTTTTTTGGGAAAAAGGTGTGTCTTATACTCAGAAAAGTATGGTATGTTCGTGTTTTCATTTTCCCTTTGATCCTGTGACCTTGTCTCCGCAACATTCATCGAATTACTTGGAGAGATCCCTTATGCCTTTTGAAAAATAAAATATTAATTTCTTTTACCTTATAGTTCCTGAATTTATGGACCAAACAAGACACTTTTGATTTGGAGAACCCTTCCTTAACTTCCACACCCGTTTGTAGCCAGAAGGTGATTGTGACAACCCCACTGCACAGGGACAAGACCCCACTACTGCAGAAGACCTCTGTGTAAGTCTCCTTTCTGTCTTTCTCCTCCCAAGCTGCACCTTCTGATCCAAGAGGCTTAGGCAATGTATACAGGCGATAAGAGAGAACAAGAGGGACTTTTTGTATGCTTTAAAGTGAAATAATGCACATTGGAAATATCTGTTGTTGTCCGCCAGCGACCAGCAGAGCTGGCAGCAGATTCGGACAGTGAGGAAGTTGGGGAGGAACATGGGCCAGTCCTGGAGTCTGGGGAAGGCTCTGATGAGGGCTCTGCGTTAGAGGCAGAGAGGGGGGCCAGGGCCGTATGCCAGTTATCAGTTGCCTTCGGAGTCAGATATCAGGCAGATGAACAGCTGGAGCCTGTTCCCAGTGTGCACATGCTCAAAGTTGCCAGACAAAGGGAACAGCTAAAGAACAAGGGTCGACTTGGGACGATGAATGGCCCCTCCCAGAGGGAATAAAGAGAAGCGAAAGGGGAGGGGAGTTTGTAGGAAACAATTAGTTCGCTTAATTGGTTCGTGACTCTCCGAGGCTCCTTGCCAAGTTTTGAAGATATCGGCCTGACAGTTCTCCAAGCCAGATAAGGTCTGTGACTGTAAATTCTCCCTTGAAAGACTGCTGGATGTGAATGAGAAGAATTCACAGTGACTTAATAAAAAGGGTTTTTTGTCGGGACAAGGAGTCTGTTTCATGCTCTTGGGAAGCCTAGGTCAGAATAATATCTTACTACAAATAGCAACAGCTCTTAGACTTATATATTGCTTCATAGTGCCTTTACAGCCCTCTAAGCGGTTTACAGAGTCAGCATATTTCCCCCAACAATCTTGGGTCCTCATTTTACCAACCTCTGAAGAATGGAAGGCTGAGTCAACCTTGAGCCTGGTGAGATTCAAACTGGAAAATTGCAAGCAGCCGGCAGTCAGCAGAAATAGACTGCAGTACTGCATTCTAATCACTGTGCCACTACGGCTCTTATGATGATTGCTGTGAGATGGGCAGTAAATAAATTTAATAAATACATAAATTGTCAGCATTTGTTTCCTTTACAGATCCTTTGGATATAAATGCATTGGGTGATGCGGGCTAGCAGGTGATGCTTTGTTGGGGTTTGCAGTCCTGCCTCCTCATAAGTTAAATCAACTCGGTTCCAAATAGTTACTAGTACTTTCACTGACTGTTTCTTTTGTCATTTATCTGAATCCAGTCTTGCATTTAAAAGTGACAGTGCTTTACTCTTCTGCATGTATGCTTTCAGATTTGTAACTCCTGATCAGAAATATACGGCAGATAATACACCTCATACGCCAACTCCTTTTAAGAATGCTCTAGAGAAGTATGGCCCAATAAGGCCTTTGGTATGTATTGAGCCAATTCATGGATGCTTTCTATATTTGTATCTCATACCTTTGCTGGATTAATGATCCCCTAATATGCCTCAAGAAAAAGATCTCTTGTCTAAGGCTAATAAGGAACTGATTCCAGCTCCTGGACTAAATTTAATTCCCATTCATGTTTATGTTCTCTCAAGGTTGGTTTAAATGATTTTCCTACACATTATAGAGAACTGGACTACATGATCCTTGTCATTACTTCACAATTCCATGTTTCTGCCCATATGGTGGGCTGCCAGAGTAGGGTATTGGCTTGAACTAATTATTTGCAGAGACCTTTTGAAATTAGGCCGAAGATCAAAAGTTGATTCCTTTGGTTTTAAGATGTAATAGTGATTACCATAGATAGGAGATCTTTCAATTTTCTCTCCATCCACCCAACTCTCTACAAAGCTCTTGTGCTACCCTCTATGTCCTGCTTTCTTGGGGAATCAGTTTTTTTCCCCCCTCCAAATATGGATCTTTAGAAATAAATAAGATAAAGTTTATTCATATCTGTGGGCAAAGTTACTATTTTAGAAATGGGCGGAACTGCTCCTTCAGGGTAAAGAACAAAATGCCAAATTTTGAGCCATGATTCTGCTATTAATCACATCTTATTGGCTCCCCACCCCACTTTGTATTACAAACTGTAGCCCCAAACACCTAATCTTGAAGAAGATTTGAAAGAAGTACTCTGGAGTGAGACTGGAATGGAACTGATCATAGAAGATGACGTGAAGCCAGAGAAACAGAAGAGAAAACAGGGTGTAAGCATCTGATTAAGCATGTCTGCTAAAAGTTATCTTTCCTTTTCATTGTCCTTGTAACTTATGAAGTTTAGAGAGCTAGGTCTGCTCCATACTGGTTGGCATGCTACAATGAACTTCTTTCTCAGATAATGCAAAATTTAAAAATACAAATGGAAATCCACACCATTTCACTTGCGCCATGCGGTATTTGATTTAAAATTCATGCTAGAGCATTAAGGCCACCCCAGGCCACCCCAACGATGCCCTTGAAGTGATGTCCTAGTGCCTGGAGGCTGTGCGGATCTGGATGGGGAGGAACAGGCTCAGATTCAACCCTTCCAAGACAGAGTGGCTGTGGCTCCCGGCATCCCGATATAGTCAGTTGACTCCATCACTGACTATTGGGGGCGAGTCTTTGGCCCCCACTGAAAGGGCTCGCAATCTGGGAGTCCTCCTGGATATGCAGCTGTCCTTGGAGGAACATCTGACGGCTGTAACCAGGGGGATCTTTTGTCAGATTCGCCTGATTCGCCAGTTGCGGCCCTTTCTTTGATCGGGATTCCCTGTGCACAGTCACTCACGCCCTCGTCACCTCTCGCCTTGACTACTGCAACGCTCTCTACATGGGGCTCCCCTTGAGGAGCACCCGGAGGCTCCAACTGGTCCAGAATGCAGCAGCGCGGGTAGTGATGGGAGCAACATGGCGCTCCCATGTAACACCGCTCCTGCGCGAACTGCACTGGCTCCCGGTGGTCTTCCGGGTGCGCTTCAAGGTGTTGGTCATCACCTTTAAAGCGCTCCATGGCATAGGGCCTAGCTATCTGCGAGACCGCCTGCTGCTACCGACGACCTCCCATCGACCTGTGCGCTCCCACAGAGAGGGCCTCCTCAGGGTGCCATCAGCCAAACAATGTAGGCTGGTGACCCCCAGGGGGAGAGCCTTCTCTGTGGGGGCTCCTACTCTCTGGAATCAGTTGCCCCCTGAGATAAGGAGAATCCATGACCTCAGTGCCTTCCGTCGTGCCCTTAAAACCCATTTTTTCCAGCAAGCTGGAAGAAATTTTTAAAATTGTTTTAATTGGTTTTGTGATTTCTTAATGTCTGGGCCAAATTTAGATATATTTTTAACTGTTTTTTTAACATTTGTATTTTATGTTCTTATTTTGGCTGTACACCGCCCTGAGTCCTCAGGGAGAAGGGCAGTATATAAATTAGAAATAAAATAAAAAATAAAAATAAATTAATTTTCCACTTCTCTACCTTAGCATGTCAGAACACTTGTTGCAGAAGCTAGCCAGGTTGAAGAGCAGGCTGATGGAATCTTTATTCCTGCTGATGCCCTTTGTGGATCATCTGTCCGGGGTCTTTAGGAAGACCCCAGGAAGTAGGCTGAAGACATAGAAGAAATGGTGTGAAGAATAGTTTCAAGGGAGGAAAGAATAAACTGTTTTGGACTGACTTAGTCTGACTTTTCAATTTAATGAAAATTGAAATTGAAATTTAATGAAATTTTGAAATTGAGAATAAAAGGTTAACTATCCAGGTTTGGGAAGAGGAACAATTATAGCTCAAGCAATTGGGAGTGCATAATTAGGGTTAGTTAGTGCATAATTAGTGCATAATTCATTATGCACAATGTACAATGAAACAGCAAAATTCTTCCTTTTTATCTCCACAAAGATTATAAAGTCTGTAGCAGACAAGATATAGAATGGTGGGTATATGCCTAAGTTATTTTATTGTGTGGTTCTAGTGTTGTGAATTATAGGTTTTGCTTATTGAGCCTCTGTTTTGCATCTGTATCACCTCTTAAATGACTCTTTTTGACTTTGGGTTAGTCAATCTTAGTCTTTAAGTAAAACTCTTACATTTAAACTCTTAAATAATTGAAATTTATCTTTCCAGAACTATGCCAGAATGCATGTTCTGTGAGCAAATTGGTTATGCTAGCTCTCTCCTGCATTTCACATGTCAAAGTGAGTTGTACTTGGCAAATTATTTTTCCTTCTAAGGCATCACAGGATTCTTAGTCACCTGAAGATGAGCCAAAGGGAAAAATAAAACTATGTTATAAAACATATCAATCTGTTATGCCCCAAGTATTTTAGAACTATGTTCTATCTTTTTTTATCTCTGTGTTATAAAAACTGATATAGGACTGCGATTTGTAAATCTGGTAACTCTTGAGATGTCACTGAGCATTTCTTTTTGGTAAAAAAGTTTATTTGTTTGGAATTTGCAAAAAGAGTGTGTTACGGTTGGATATTTTAAATTTAAGATTTCAGGAATTTAAATTGTAGGGATGTAAAACGGACGCGGTGGCTCAGGGGCTAAGACGCTGAGCTTGTCGATCAAAAGGTCAGCAGTTCAGCGGTTCGAATCCCTAGTGCCGCGTAACGGGGTGAGCTCCCATTACTTGTCCCAGCTTCTGCCAACCTAGCAGTTGGAAAGCACGTAAAAAATGCAAATAGAAAAATAGGGACCACCTTTGGTGGGAAGGTAACAGCATTTCATGCGCCTTTAGCGTTTAGTCATGCCGGCCACATGATCACGTCTTCGGACCGCACTGGCTCTTCGGCTTTGAAATGGAGATGAGCACCGCCCCCTAGAGTTGGGAACAACTAGCACATATGTGCAAGTGGAATCTTTACCATTACCTAAATTGTAGCAATTAGTCCTCAGTTTAAGGCATTGACTGAACAAGCCTTGTTACGTTTGTCCGTTTGTAATTTATGCTGGAGCTGGTAAACTTTGCATTAATCTTTGTGGTTTGCTTGACTTAATATTGCACTTCTTTATTGTGTGCACTTCTTCTTTGGTGTGTTGATATTTCTCAGAAAATCTTATTAGCATTGGGTTTGCTTTGCCTCCCACGGGCATTGAAAGGATCTTAGTGACAGGAATGCACAAATAAATTAATTCTCCAAAACTTAATTCATGTCCAGATTGTTTAGGTTTCTGCAATAATTCGCTACAAATCAAATTTAGAATATGACATAACTTGGTGCCTAGCCTATTTTTTTTTTCCTGGTTAAAGCCTAATATTCTGATTCCATTGCTTTTTCAGTTGCACAGGAGTCCAATTAAGAAGGTCAGGAAATCTCTTGCTTTGGATGTTATTGATGAAGACTTGAAGTTGACTGTTTCTTCTGTGGCCAACCCTATTTGCTTCAAAAGAACTCAGGTGAGCTGTGATCCCATGGAGAGTTAAGTTGGTAACTGGTAACGATTTTAAAATATCTCTGTTTACCTCCTTGCTACAATATTCTTCCATTGCTATGGAAAAATTGATATCTCCCCAGTCTTTTTCCCTCCAGAAGGCAATTTCATATGTTCTTACAAAATGGATCACTGGGCAATACATGTATAGGCAAAATTATATGCACACACTTTAAACTCTTCCTGTTTCATAAGACAAATTTAGCTTTAAGAACTCTTAATGTTTTCAGTTCTGGGTTTTTGCAAATACTGGCAAATGACCTCTATTTTAACATAAAACCTGGCAACATTTCGTAGAGAAGAGCTGTCCCCCTTTTTTAGAAGTTGCCCTTCTTTTAGGTAGTTTGAGAATTGATAGTTTTTCATTCTCATAGCATTTGCTTGTACTTTACCAGTGCGTTGTGCTTCCCTGCAATTTTCAGTACCAGAAATGCTAATGAAACATTTCCTTCTGACAGCAATTTCTGTAAGAGCACTTAAGCATATTAGTGAGAACTGTTAGGTATTGTCTGTCTATGCTAATGAATTACCTTGAAACTGTATTTTTAAAAAAAAAAAAATACAACAAACTCCTATGTGATTTTTTTTAAAAAAAATTACTGTGTACTTGTGCACCGTTAATTCTGATGTAATAATTGATACTTGACTTGTTAATGTGCTTTTCTATAATGCTATAAATTAGAAGGCAGCAGCTTATTATCATCCATCCTGCAAAATAGTTGGCCTCTGTTGAGTTTCAGGAAAGCTGCATTGGGCCCACGTTGCTTTTAGCAACCACGTCTCTCCGCCTGCAGATAAGTGGCTCAATTTTATTGTGGATAAAAATATAATAAACACATTCTGGGTAGGAAAAAAAAATGAGGCGGGGGATTGCAGACTCAAGAGTTAGAGTAGGAAAATGTTAATGGTATTGAAGAAAAATGTGTGCGGAACTTCATTAAAATAGCAAAATGCCCCAATTTTGATCAAAAACTTCCTTGGAGCACAAGAATTCAATTCATTACTTTTAATAAGGCGGCGGCGGCAGCTTCCTTAGCAGATGTTATTTGTCTAGAATTTTAAACACCTTACGTGAAAAGGATACGCCAGTCATCTTGAAGGAGGTAGTGATACAACTTCTGCTTAAGAGCTCATGTCTGGAACTGGCTGTGTTAGATAACTGTCCCGAATTTTCCCTTTTGGAGGGAAAGTTGTGGAGACAGTGATATAACAGTAATAGAAGTCCCTGGGGGAAGTAGAATATCTATGTTTTCTCAGGCATGGGCTGCTTCACAAGGTTCACCTGTGCTGAGACTTGTATGCTCTGTGTAACCCACCTTGTGCTGCTTGATTTCCCAGTAGCCTTTGGTGCCATCAACCACGGCATACTTTTGGATTGCCTGCAAGGATTGGGAGTTCAAGGCACAATGTTACAGTGCTTTCCTTTCTTCTTAAAGAGGCAATTTCAATATTAGCTGTGGGGGGAGAAGAGCCTGAGCCCTTAAATACTCAGTATATTGGTAGATTAGAGGCTTTCTTTCTTTCCCATTTCATTTAAAATCTATATTAAATTGCTAGGTATGGTAATCTGCCAGCACAGGTGAATTATTTGTACTCTGGACCAGATGGGATCTTGACTTGGTCCTTGGGGCTGTTGGATGGGGGGAAATGCTGTCCAATTAAAGAAGTACACAAGTTAAATTAAACAAATGTTTTTCAGCAACATATTAATAGATTTGAATACAGTAGTTTTTAAAGCTGGAGAAACAAGTCCATACCACAGTTACTCAGCCCATAGCCATCTTATGAATTGCTAAACCAGGAAGACATATACCCTGCTACTTCTATGATTCCCAGGAAGTTTTGCAGCCAATATGGTGAAGCTTTCTAGGGGGGAAAGTGATTGTTTATTCTGAATTATGGTAATAAGTCTGTTTATTAGTGCTGTCATCTTTTGCATTACTCAACAGTAATTGTTATGAAATTTTCTTATTCTTGAAGATAAAGATAGTCCTTGACCTACGACAATTGATCCCAAATTATTTGTTGCTATGCAAGACAGTTGTTAAGGGAGCTTTGGCCCAGTTTATGACCTTTCTTGCCTTCCTAAACGACCTTTAGTTGTTAAGTGAATCACTGCACTTTAGTAACACGGTTGTTAAGTGAATCTGTCTTCCCCATTGACTTTGTTTGTCAGAAGGTTGCAAAACTTGATCATATGATCCCGGGAAACTGCATCCATCATAAATACATGCCAGTTGCCAAGCGTCCGAGTTTTGATCACGTGACCAAAGGGATGCTGCAATGGTCATAAGTGTGAAAAATGATCATAAATCCTTTTCTTTTTCTAGTACCATTGTAATTTTGAGTGGTCACTAAATGAATGGTTGTAAGTCCAGGACTATCTTATGCTGATGAATTATTACTTTGAACATATTAAAGTATTACAAATAAATAATTTTTCCTGTTTGGAAAACTGATACCATGCCTGAAAGATCAGGGCATTTCCTGATTACATTAAATACATGTTTTGCTTGCTTTCTAATGTATTAATAGGAATCGCTTGGAAAGAAATCAGTAAGTATGTTTCATGGCAACTTGCTTTTTTCATTGGTTAATTGATACGTGAATTTTCTTTTGCAGTCCCTAAACTTTTCCTTGTCAAGCAGCAAGAATGACAACAGCTTACTCAACAGAGGATTTGTGCACATAAAGACTGAGAAGGTGCCATCTTCCAGAAGAAGCCAAAGTAAATTCAGGGTACCAGCTCTGGTAAGTGTAGCTAGTCATGGACATTTGCTAGATGCCACAATCTTAGGGATTTGAAAAATGGGATGCTAAAATCTCTACTGGGTTCCGAGCAATTTATATGATTATAAGATCCATCTCTAAATTTATGAATCGAGTGTGAAAAGTCACCTTTCAGTCAAGTTTAAGTTGTCTCCTGAAGCCTTGCATAGACATATCTGAAGTCTTCTGTGCCACAATGTGGAAGCAGTTTGTCATTGTGTGTCAACTTCCTTTGTACTTTGAAACTGATTATAAAGTTTGGTCAGCCACTATTTTTTAAGTAATTCAGTTTACTATACACTGCTTTGAAAATATAATGGTTGCCACTGGGCAAAAATTTCATGGCAAAAATTCTGTCTCCCTGTTTAATGATTTCATGTCTGTCAATTACAAATGCATTATCTTCTTTTTATTCTTTTCTTTCTATGCCACTGCACGTTTCATAAGCTTCATTCTCCTGCCATTTTGATGTGTGGTCTGGTTTGAAATCTGTTGTGTGATAATGATCTATTAAAAATGGAAATATTCCAAAGATTCCTCAGTTGGCTTCTGTAAGAACCATTTTCTTGTTTAAACAGGCAGTTGCCTTCCCAAGTTGTTCTTTCCATTTATCTGCCTTAGAAATAAGGATACAGGTAGTTCTCATGTTATGACCACAGTTGAGCCCAAAATTTATGTTGCTAAGTGAAACATTTGTTAAGTGCATTTGTCCCATTTTACAACTTTTCTTGCCACATTTGTTAAGTGAATCACTGCAGCTGTTAAATTAGTAACACTGTTGTTAAGTGAATCTGGTTTTTCCATTGACTTTGCTTGTCAGAAGGTCACAAAAGGTGATCGCGTGACCCTGGGACACTGAAACCATCGTATATGTGAATCAGTTGTCAAGCATCCGAATGTAAATCACGTGGCCATGGGGATGCTGCAAAGGCTATAAGTGTAAAAAATGGTCATAAGGAGCCTTGGTGACGCAGTGGACTAAAGTGTTAAGTAGCATTTAGCTGCCAGCTGCCTGCAATTACTGCAAGTTCAAATCTCACCAGACTCAAGGTTGACTCAGCCTTCCATCCTTCCGAGGTAGGTAAAATAAGGACCCGGATTGTGGGGGCAATAAGCTGACTTTGTATAAAAAGAACACCGCTTAGGGGGGGCCGAAAGCCCTACTAAGCAGGTATATACAAAAGTATGAAGGCTTTTGCTTAATGCATTGTAAGCCTCCCTGAGTCTCCGGAGAAGGGCAGCATATAAATTGAACCAATAACTAACTAACTCACTCACTCACTCACTCACTCACTTTTTCAGGGGGAAGTTTACAAATTCTTTGTAGCTTTGGTCAACTTAATTGCAGACTGTTGATAATCCAAAATTGGTTGGAATCTCATACCACATTTAAGGGTTTGTTTTTTTTCTTCTTTCAAATCTGTATTCATGTGTATTTCTCAATCATTTGGTCGCATGTACAATGGATGTCTTTATATTCTTTGTTTTGTAGATGTCCAGTGCTTGGAAAACTGTGGCTTGTGGTGGTTCCAAGGATCAGCTGATCATGCAAGACAAAGCTCGTCAAGTCCTGGGTGTTTTGAAACAGAATCACACATCTCGGACATTGATCCTATCTTGAAGAGCCCTAATAATATGTAGTTCTGCTTTTTGGAATATATGGAAGTGCGGGAAGAGAAAATAACTGACTTTTTCAGCACAACTTCTCTTTTGTGACCTCTGAGATTTGTATTGTACTGAGTTTCTGATTCTAAGTGGGGTGTAGAAAATTTGGGCCTAGCAGAATGCCAAGAATGTGGCAGCCCTAAGTGCAAAGAAATATCCATTCTCCTCCTTGGCCATTTGCATAAGTGGAAACAGATACTGTTTTGTCCTTGCCTTCAATTGACCTGCAAGAGGGACCTATGAGCTGAATGAATGGACATTGATGTGGAAAACCTGGATGTCTGGATCTAGTTAGTTTCCACCAACTCTGTTCAGCTTTGCAGAGTTGGGCAATGGATTTGGATAAAAAGGAAGATTACATATTATCAGGTGGTAGTATCTGTGAACGCCAGTCTGAACCCTGAAGATGATCTGATATACTATGAAACATTGAAGCCACTTCCTCAGAGCATTGTTGACTAAAAAACTAATGCACTGCCTTTATCTTTTGTCAACATGTGTTGCTCTTACAGAAATCCAGGATTACTTAGAAAGCAAGCTGCAATGTACAAACCCAGTTTGTGTAATATTTCCAGTGTCCACCAGAGGGTGCTGACGTCAACACATTGCTCTAGCTCAGCCTAATATAAATCCATCTAAGAAACAAGCCAGCTATCTGAAAGAAACAGTAAATGTATTAGGTGCATATTCTTCTAAGAGACTTTGGGAACACACATGTATAAACCTGAAGGCATGGGACATACTGCACAAGAAAAGCTACAGTGGGTGTAAATTTGCTTCTGACAATGAAAGCCACATATACAGTTTTGCTGTAGAAGGCGACATTGGTGTAATCTTGCAAATGAAATGGGTCTCATTGATGTGAACAGTAAAAGAGGCAGTGTTTGGGATAAGTTGTGCCTTGTTTGGGGCTTGTGCTATTCATTTGAAGAGTATCATGGTGATTGGAGAGATCCTGCCAAATCAAATCATATTTGTTAACGAGCTTCTGGGTGCCTGAAGCCAATTGCAAACCTGTGTTATTGGGGCAAAGAGTCATGTTGCTGTGCTATAGGTCCATGGTGCAATAGATAGGGAAACAGACTGTACATCCACATCCGCTTCTCTATTATCAGGGACAGATCCATAGGCTTGCCTTTGCAAAATGTTTAATATGAACCTCAATCAGTATGAAAGCCTTTCTCAGAAGTACTTGAATATTTTAAATATGCATGTGCATTTAAATGTCAGTCACCCTATACACGTCTCTGATATCTGTAAATCAATATCTTAATTGGGACCCTTGAAGTCTGAATTTCCAAGGCTTTTCGTAAGGCAGGAAAGGAAAATAAGGAGAGAGAAGTCTTGAATGACATTAGCATGAGGTTAAACCACTGAGAGAATATGGGAGATTCTCTAAGCTGATATTGATTGTATCAAAATACAGATGTTCCAGGGAAGAAGAGCCAATTAAGTTTTCATTTTTGAAAATAGGAATTTCATTAGTTAAAATCAAAACCTTTTCCTACTTCTGTGAGATGCAGAAACTTTAGTAGATAGAAATAAGAAAAGCCACAAGGCAGGGGTGCCAATGCGTCACGCACAGGCCATGCCCACCCCAGCTCTGTGAATGGGAAAAACATCGCAAAACACGTGATGGCAATGTGATGCAGCAAGTTTGACATCCGTGCCACAAGGCATCTCTTCTGAGTAGCAAAGCTGGTGATCATCTTAAATGGTGAAATTATATCAATCATGCCTGATAAGTTCTTGAAAATTCAAGCTTGCAGCTGTTTGTAAGTCTTCAAGAGGCCTAGTTAAGCTATTACTTTATCTGTTTTAGATTCCCCAAGAACCAGCAGTATCATCTTGATTTCTTTCATTATTTATGCTATCTAATCCACACTGCTATGATTGCTGTTGAGCAAGTCTTTATCTCTGTATATAACCTACCTCACAGGGCTGTTGTGAGGCAAGCTGTACAGCTCTGAAGGAATGGAAAAGATACAAATAAAACAAGGCTAACAATTAGAAATACTGCTGCCTATTTAAGATGCAAATGCCAGATCAGGTTGGGGAAAACTTGACAGATTTTTTTTTTTTTGGCTGAGTATTAGTGCTTCTGCAGACTTCTTACCATGATGTGATGGCCCTTCAAATATGCTGAGCTTCAATTAACACATTCCCCCCAGCCAGTTTGATTATTAAATATGCTAATTGGCAACAATGCAGTTGCAGTCCAGCATATTGGAAAGCTGGCTGCCATCACTGCATATTTCAGAGTTGGGGTGGGGGTGGTTTGGATTGAAGCTGTCTAATTAAAAGATTAGAAGAGGAACATTAAATGCTATTGCTAATTCTGCAAATCTGATTCCACCAACATATTCTGCCGTATGAGTTTATTGCTTATAAAGGAAGACTTAATGATGAGCAAATTTCAAGGGGATTGAGCAGACAGCCTGGCTAATAACAAAAACAATTAACTTTAATGGGAATATTTCTTGCCTGAAGTCTACCAAACTTTGTTTTCCTGAGCCGATATTTGTAGGACAGGTTACCTTTTAGTGAATGTTGAGCAGGTGACGTATGCTAGGGAAATTTAAACCATAAATGTGGACTACTAGTGAGAACTTTAAGGAAAAGGCAAACAAGGATGTGAAAGCATTAATGGATCACTGCAAAAGAGGATGAGCTACTTCATGTTTTCAGATAAACTACTGGGCTAGGGGTAAGGATACATGGATTAAGCCAAGATACATGTGTTTTGTTGCATCAGACAATATTCTGCTTAGCATATTGGGGCCAGTCTTGAAAAAGAGAAAGATGAGAACAAAAATTACACTTGATTTAATCTGCTGTAAATTAAATGCAGTGAAGGATTGCTTCTCTTGAAATGAATGATTCCTCTTGTCAGATTAAAAATTACAATTTGATGACAATTGTTAAAAGGCATTCTTGTGACTGCCCATGACTTTGTTTTTGCCCAGATGTGCATGTGGGATTCCCTAACTACCTAGTCTGCTTTAGTATCTCGTAAGCTGTTTGAAAAAGACGTGCTGTTGACCCCGAACTAAACAGCAAATCTTTCTAAATCCATACCTATGCAATACTTTTATTAGATACAAATACACATGGTTTCATATTTAAAGGTATGGGCCAAGGCAGCATGTACATGGTGGCGCAGTAGTTAGAATGCAGTATTGCAGCCTGATTCATTGCTCACTGCTAGGAGTTTGATTCTGACCGACTCAAAGTTGACTCAGCCTTCCATCTTCCGAGGTGGGTAAAATGAGGACCCAGATTGTTGGAGGCAATATGCTGACTCTGTAAACAGCTTAGTGAGAGCTGTAAAGCACTATAAAGCACTATATTAGCTATTGCTCTTATAAGGTATACTAGCAAAGAATGACAAAATATATGGTTCTATAATTCCTATTTCTTGGTCAGACACAAAAGAAGGCAGATCTGTATTGTAAAGGTCATGCAATTTACAGGGGCCCAAATGACCTGCAAAACTAGAGGGGGACATGGAAGTCTACAAAAAGATAAGTGTTGTGAACCTTAATTGAAAAATAATAATAATTTGCATCACTATGGCCATACTTTTATCATAAACAAAGCACTTTCATCAAGAGTTTTGGGGCATGGGAACCTGGATTGCTGAAATATCTGCATTTTGAAATGGGCAGTCAGTTGCAACATTTGGTCTGAAATAAATACTATTAAGTCTTTTTCAACTGTTTTCCCTTTACTCCGAAAGCATATCTCTTGGGTTCATTCCTAAGATTCAAGCTGTGTTTCTTTTGCAAGATATTTTCCCAGCCCTGTGTAGTAGATACCTAGAAATAATTCTTGTCTTAACTGGTGCACATTACTATGGTGGCAGCTATAATTGTAATTGTATGGCTATTGTTGGCATCTATTCACTATTGTCAATTACACTTGCTGGAGCCACTTTGCAGTCTTTAAAAAGTCACAAATACCCTTTTAAAGCTGTTGATGTCTTTGAGTTGTTCTTTATTACTGCCATTCTAACATTTTCATCTATTTAAAAAAAAAAATTGAAACTCAAAAGAGTCCCGTAGGGCTTCCGTTATTTAGGGACTTTTCTGAGTCTAGTAAAACAAGGAAATGTTGTCTGTAGATGTCCTTGATAACTAGAGATTTGTATAAATGTAATGATAAAAAGTAGGAGTTTGAACAGAAATTATTTGAAAACATCCTGATGAAGGGAGATAATTATTCTCTGAAACTACAGAGAATGCCTTGGGAGTACGCCCAGTTGAGTACTTATAAATTCTAATAAGAGGTGACTGGATCAAAATCTTTCAGATTCAGGGATGAATTGGAACATAATTAACCACCTGCAGTTTTGGGCTAAAAAAAATATTAATTTGCATTTGGAAATATGTCATCTTACAGAATGTGTTTTTAAGAGTGAACATTCTGAGAGTGTGTTCAGAAATACTAAATGAAGATTTTAATGAAGATTTATTTGAAGCGGTATCAGATTAATACAAAAACATGTCAGATTGGCTTTCTGAGAGAGCTCCGTGCAAAATGGAAAACAAAATTTACTTCATTAAAGTTGTTATGGTCACCCATTCCAGTAGACTCTGGATGCATTAATTTCCTTCAGGAAGAAGAGTTACTCTCTATCCCAGGATGAAGATGAATATAGCTGAAGCCACTGTCAAACTACCTTTAAGGTTTAAAGGTTTGGTTTGAAACAATATTTGTTTTCCAAATGTACTGCAGTTCACCAACACTCAGGAGTGCAGAACTTAACTGCCTCCAAAATATATTAAAGAATTATTGACCCACCCCCATTTCATTTAAAGGTGCTCTGGGAAAGAAACCAACAGAAAGGCACCCCTAGAATATAACATACAGCAGGGGTAGGCAAATGTGGCCCTTTTATAACCTGTGGACTTCAACTCCCAGAATTCCTGAGACAGCTTGGCTGTCTCAGGAATTCTGGGAGTTGAAGTCCACAGGTTGTAAAAGGGCCGCATTTGCCCACCCCTGACATACAGTATATCACAGAAGTGAGTACACCCCCTCACATTTTATAAATATTTTAAGTATATCTTTTCATGTGACAACATGAATATTGGCTACAATATAAAGTAGTGAGTAAACAGCTTGTATAACAGTGTAAATGTGCTGTCCCCTCAAAATAATGCAACATACAGCCATGGGGTGAAATCCAACAGGTTCTGACAGGTTCTGGAGAACCGGTAGCGGAAATTTTGAGCAGTTTGGAGAACCAGCAAATATCACCTCTGGCTGGCCCCAGAGTAGGATGGGAATGGGGATTTTGCAGTATCCTTCCCCTGGAGTAGGATGGGAATGGAGATTTTGCAGTATCCTTCCCCTGGAACGCCCACCAAGCTACGCCTACCAAGCCACACCCACAGAACCAGTAGTAAAAAAAATTGGATTTCACCACTGGCCTAGGCTATAAGAAGATTGCCAAGACCCTGAAACTGAGCTGCAGCACTGTGGCCGAGACCATTGGGGTGTACTCACTTCTGTGATATACTGTATATAGCACTTCTCTTATAAAAAAGAGCAGTATTTTTTCCTATATAAAAAAAATATCAGAACATACCAGCAGCCTACTCCATCCGTTAGGCACTATAGCAGAAACCTACAAAAACACCATACAGGGATTCTATCCAAACTGAAAGACAGAACACTATGGGAAGTTTACCAAGATTGTAACCTGCACTACATAGAACAGATAGGATGCAGCTGCTTCTAAGAATTAAAGAACTCATGTCTGCAGTAAAGAACCAGGACTGCAAATTCTTAACAACTATCTATGCCCTTCATACAAATCATACATTGGACTAGAATAATTGAGTATGCAAACAGCTAGAAACCCAGCATTTCCATTTCCCGCTCATTAACAAATCAAAGGAGCTGGATCCGATCTACCACCCATGGTAGATCCAGACCCCACAAAGCAAACAGACAAGACAGACAAAACAAAAACAAAAAACCCCACAACCCCTAGTAACCAATTATTTGACATGTTCCAGGAAACCTCCAATCATTCTCCACAGACTATCATTTCTACAAACATTGCAAGGAACTGTTGTACTGAAAAAGATTTGCTGAGATGGTGGAGGTGGGGACATCTGCAAAAGCCTGATCAATACCTCGGAACTGATCTCCTGAAGCCTGACTACTAACTATATAGAGTTCTCCAAAGCTTTTAACTGTTATTTCTGCTGAAGTAAAAAACAACAACAACAACTCAGGACCTGAAACAGATTCTCACAGGAAACCAGAGCAATGTTGCTAACATGGAAACCAGATTCTGCAATCAGCCTACTGTAGATGTCTACTTTCCTCCACATTCAAAAGCACTATTACACACAAACACCACCAAAGCTAACACCAGCCACAGCATACAAAAACTCAAAGAAGTAGTGCAGGATCAGAAACATGTGGAGAGACCTGGCCCATAGAATCACTAAGAGTCGGGCACAACTGAATGGATAACATCCTCATCATGCACAAAATTAGAGGTGCATTCACTTATTCTCCCTCCAATGTAATAGGCACTATCATGCCCCTATTGATTTTACACTGGACAAACAGGTCAAGCTTCATGCAAAAGAATCAATGCACATAAGTTTGACATTAGAGTTCAAAACAAGGACAAAATAACATCAGAGCATTTTAATTTCCCAGGATATCTAATCACAGATTTCAAAGTGACAGTTTTAGAACAATGAAACTACTCCAACATTATAGAATGAGAGACTGCCTAACTCATATGCATCAAAAGGTTTCAGGCAATCTTTGAAGATCTCAACAAACACATCGGGTTTTTAACACATTACAATTGCTAATTGATGAGGGATGATAAATGTTTGGCCCTGGCACATTATGCCAAGGGGTCTTCAGTAACCTCCAGCCTGAAGCTAAACAATATAGGGATATGCAAATACATTATTGCTGCCAAGGATCTACTCAAACACACAAACTTTAATTTGTTTTTCAATACCCACTTCAGCCTGC